CTAGGTTGGTACTGTATCCTTCGCTAGGTACTCTGTCCCTTGCTTGGTTGGTACTACATCTCTCTCTGTACTCTGTCCCTTGCTCGGTTGGTATTATCTCCCTCGCTAGGGACTCTGTCCCTTGCTAGGTTGGTATTATCTCCCTCGCTAGGTACTCTGTCCATTGCTTGGTTGGTACTACATCTCTCTCTGTACTCTGTCCCTTGCTAGGTTGGTATTATCTCCCTCGCTAGGTACTCTGCCACTCACTAGGTCATATCTCCCTTGCTAGATTGGTACTTTATCCCTCGCTAGGTACTCTGCCACTCGCTAGGTCCTATCTCCCTTGCTAGGTTGGTACTATATCCCTCTCTGTACTCTGTCCCTTGCTATGCTTATACTGTGTTCATCCCTAGGTACTTTGCCACTCACTAGATCCTATCTCCCTTGCTATGTTCGTACTATATCCCTCTATAGGTACCCTGTCCCTTGCTAGGTTGGTACTTTATCCCTCGCTAGGTACTCTGCCACTCACTGGGTCCTATCTCCCTTGCTAGGTTGGTTCTATATCCCTCTCTGTACTCTGTCCCTTGCTATGCTTGTACTGTGTTCATCCCTATGTACTTTGCCACTCACTAGATCCTATCTCCCTTGCTAGGTTGGTACTGTATCCCTCTCTAGGTATGCTGTCCTTTGCTAGGTTGGTACTTTATCCCTCGCTAGGTACTCTGCCACTCACTAGGTCCTATCTCCCTTGCTTGGTACGTACTATATCCCTCTCTAGGTACTCAGTCTCTTGCTAGGCTGGTACTATATCCCTCGCTAGGTATTCTGTCACTCACTAGGTCCTATCTCCCTTGCTAGGCTGGTACTATATACCTCTCTAGGTACTCTGTCCCTTGCTAGGTTGGTATTATGTCCTCCACTTCATACAGGTACTCATCCCTGATTATAGGTATGTTACCTTTTCCTAGTTAGGTACGTTCCTCCCCAAAATAATAATAACAAAACCCATTGGGATATATTGCTTTGATTTTGAGTCATCAATTTAATGCATGTTCAAACTACAATACATGACAAAATATTCTGTAGTGGAAAACGGACAGATTTTGCATAAAGTTTACATAAAATCTTGTAATTTATTTTATTTATTTCATTTTAGATTCGTTGCGCCGTTCAAAGAGAAGAGTGTGGAGGGCAGTCGGTGATGGAATAGAAATGTGATTGACGTCACAGCCTCGATTTGGCTGTCTTAGGGGTTTTGTCACGACTAGTTCCAAAAGAAATCGTTTTTGACCAGTGCTATTTATATTGTACTTATATTTATTACAATGCCCAAATGTAGCTTTGTGAGTGTAGATTGTTAGTGATCTTGTGGGGAACTTTTGTAGTGTCATGGTCAGTTATACACTCGGTCAAGCCGACCACCTGGTTGATCATGTGATCAATGAAACATTCTAAAAATGATTTTCGTGTTCATGTTATATTTTGTAACCGTCCTTTTAAATATGTCATAGCTTCGTAAAAACGTATGAAATGTCATACATTGAAGTGAGACTGAACTCATACTACCGACACATCGGCCCGTATTCACGAAACCGTTCAAGCATGGATTCTGTGCTCAAACCAACTCTGTTACTCGCTGAAATAATGTGACACGCTCAAAAGTCAAATTTTAGCATTGAAAATATACTTAGGCTTTAAGACTTTATAATTCTTCCAAATCATTGACAAAATGATGGGTTTTTTTTAATTTATCACTGGAACAAGATATTTGGCTTGAGAACAGAATCTGGGTTTGAGCATGAGAACGTTTCCGTGACAACGGCCCCTTGATTTACGGGCATCCTCTAAATCATCTATGTATCATGGTATATTTTGAAAAAAACTGATTTATCTGTCTTTATCTCCGTATATTACTGATACACTAGCTGTCATATCTAACTATGTCATGAAGTCCTCGCTGATGTTCGGTACACACAGATACATTAATTTCACAAATGTGTATTACATAAAAAGAAAAAATGATTAACAACACTTCCTTAGAATTTTCATCTCATCGAGGAGATTCGTCAAATGTTTATTTAAAGGAGATATTTTATTCTTACATAATCGTACTAATAATAAAACGAAAACCTAAATTGAAGGTACTCTTTACCTTAGGACCATTTAGCAATAAATGTTTCAGCAAATGTTGTTATGGTCCTATAACAAACATTGCTATGGATGACAAACTTGATAAAGGTCGACAGGACTATCCAGTGTGACGATTACATAGCGGGACTATCCAGTGTGTCGATAACATAGCGGGACTATCCAGTGTGTCGATTACATAGCGGGACTATCCAGTGTGTCGATTACATAGCGGGACTATCCAGTGTGTTGATTACATCGCGGGACTATCCAGTGTGTCGATTACATAGCGGGACTATCCAGTGTGTCGATTACATAGCGGGACTATCCAGTGTGTCGATTGCCCGTCATTGACAGTGTGACGATAACAGGACGGGCATTTACAGTGTGACGATAACAGGACGGGACTATCTAGTGTGACGATTACAGGACGGGACTATCCGGTGTGACGATAACAGGACGGGCATTTACAGAGTGACGATTTCAGGACGGGACTAATCAGTGTTACGATAACAGGGCGGGACTATCTAGTGTGACGATTACAGGGCGAGACTATCCAGTGACTACAGGGCGGGACCATCCGGTGTGTCGATTACAGGACGGGCATTTACAGTGTAACGATAACAGGACGGGCATTTACAGAGTGACGATTACAGGACGGGACTAATCAGTGCTACGATTACAGGACGGGACTATCCAGTGTTACGATTACAGGACGGGACTATCTAGTGTGACGAATACGGGACGGGACTATCCAGTGTGTCTACTTCAGGGCGGGACTATCCGGTGTGTCGATTTCAGGGCGGGACTATCTGGTGTGTCGATTACAGGACGGGCATTTACAGTGTGACGATTACAGGACGGGCATTTACAGAGTGACGATAACAGGACGGGACTAATCGGTGCTACGATTACAGGACGGGACTATCCAGTGTGTCTACTACAGGGCGGGACTATCTGGTGTGTCGATTACAGGGCGGGACTATCCGGTGTGTCTACTACAGGGCGGGACTATCTGGTGTGTCGATTACAGGAGGGGCATTTACAGTGTGACGATTACAGGACGGGACTAATCAGTGCTACGATTACAGGACGGGACTATCCAGTGTGTCGATTACAGGGCGGGACTATCCGGTGTGTCGATTACAGGACGGGCATTTACAGTGTGACGATTACAGGACGGGACTATCTTTTGTGACGATGACAGGACGGGACTAATCAGTGTTACGATAACAGGACGGGACTATCCAGTGTGTCGATTACAGGGCGGGCTATCCGGTGTGTCGATTACAGGACGGGCATTTACAGTGTGTCGATTACAGGACGGGACTAATCAGTGCTATGATTACAGGACAGGACTATCCAGTGCTACGATTACAGGACGGGACTATCCAGTGTGTCGATTACAGGGCGGGACTATCCGGTGTGTCGATTACAGGACGGGCATTTACAGTGTAACGATTACAGGACGGGAATTTACAGAGTGACGATTACAGGACGGGACTATCTTGTGTGACGATGACAGGACGGGACTAATCAGTGTTACGATAACAGGACGGGACTATCAAGTGTGACAGTTACAGGGCGGGACTATCCAGTGTGTCTACTACAGGGCGGGACTATCCGGTGCGTCGATTTCAGGGCGGGACTATCCGGTGTGTCGATTTCAGGGCGGGACTATCCGGCGTGACGATTACAGGACGGGCATTTACAGTGTGACGATTTCAGGACGGGACTATCCAGTGTGAAGATTACAGGACACAACTTTACCCCACCGAGAATATTTTCTTATCTCTTTACACATACAGTGACATCACGTCAGAGGTTAACGCACAGTCGAAAAATCGCGGATCTCGCTACATGATGAGACAGACGACTGTATGAATTATTCACAGTGAAGTTTTCACTTAAAAAAAAGGTTATGCAGGCCTGCATAGGTGTGTTGGAAAAATTCAAATTAAGACGCAACTTAATGAAAACCTTTCAAAGGGTTTTGGGCAAGCGAGGTACTATCGTGTAAACACCCCTAGGCGAAGCATCTCTTCCTGGCATAATTTTCGGTCCATTAGCAATATTTCTGTGGTGTTTAACTTACTGTCTACAGGTTCTGTTAAAAGAACTCTTATCCATGGGTGGTGTACGTCAACCATTATCAAGATGATGTCACGAAGGTGCTGACGTCATACTCGTTACATGTACCTCAAAATCAGTGGAATAATGTAAAACACGCATTAGGAGGATTGAGACCGGGCCCTATGTGGTCAGAATCCCTCCTGTGAGAAAAAGATATAGAAATTCAGTGACAGGTAGATCCCCACCCACATAAGATAAATTTCAGTTCCAGACTAGATGAAAAATCTCGGATTTGCCAAACGTCCATGGTTTTGCCCTGTTGCGAGTCTGTAAAGCGGCAATATGCCACTTCATATGGCGTTCAAAGCTTTGAAGGCGGATTTTACATGGTTATGATGGTACATGTAATATGACTTAAATATTAAAATATGTTCAGTAATTGTTTCCATTAGCGAGAATATATCGCCTAATCCTGCTCGAATACAGTATATTTCCAAAGTAAATTAGTGTTTATAATTAGGGTAAATAAGTGTCGATTAAACGTATCTATTGTCCAATTCAGCCCATCATGACTACATTAGCTGTAATTATAAACCGTCAATTATACAAATCAATATGATGTTGATTGATTATTAGTTATGGTAATGTAGTCCAAACAACGAGAAGTGATCGTTAAAGCCAAATATAATATAATTATTCAATTTATCAACTCGTGCGATAAAACGTAAGACGGGTACGTACATGATAAAAGTTCAACATGAATTTGCTTGTATATATAAGCTCACAATTTGTATTTAAAAGAATGATCCAGAAAACCGTACTATGAATATAGTGTATATGTGCATATATCATCTTGCACCGAACGCGCATCTCTCCCTATCGTAAACGGAACAGAAACATCATGGAAGGTAAGATGTTATCTTTGAAATGTGCGATTTTAAACGTATCAGTACATCATTCCTGAAGATGTACTAAAATGGCATTTGAAACAGTCGTTAATATATTGACAACAATGGACGCTTGTTTGTATAGTATGGACCAATCTTTACTCAACAGAATGCTAAAAAGTCGTAGTAGCTCTCTCGTAGCGATACATTATCTTTTATTTGATCATTCCGTAAGAATATGTGACGTTGAAGTGTACGTTAAAGAAATTGCATGGGCCTAAATGAGTGACGAAAGGAAGGTGATAATATTGATTAAACAACATCTTACATGTACGTTTGGGATTTTTTGTCATATTTATCACGAGAGAATAACATTTATTGATGACTGGCAAAGGCAGAGAGTCTGAGCTGTGCCCTGATTATGTCTGTTTATGACATGGTCTTATTCCATTATTTCTCTTATATCTTCAATTTCAGTATCGTCAACAATTGGAAAGACCGAAGGTCTGCATATATGGAGGATTGTGGTGCGTACAATGTATAACGCTGAGTCAGGTTTGTGATTACAGACGTAACATATGTAGTAAAGATACATTACACCAGTCATGCGATCAAAGATGTCCAATATATTGGGTACATTGAGTCATGACCTATGATCACAGATGTCCGATAGATTGCGTACATTGAGTCATGACTGTGATCACAGATGTACGTTAGAATGGGTACATTGAGTCATGACTGTGATTACAGATGTACGTTAGAATGGGTACATTGAGTCATGACTGTGATTACAGATGTAAGTTAATAAATTTCTGCTTAATAAAAGTTTTATTCTTTATACTTCAGTCAGAATAGTTTTGGTTAAAAGAGGACACTGTTAAAACTCAAAACTTGATATATCTTCAGGAGTAACTGACAACCACACTGTAGTTAAATTTCGATATATGAATCCGCCTGAAGAAGCCCTAGAAGGCAGAAAGGCCTAGCGGACGATCTGAAAAATTTGTTTTTATTCTATATATATATATATATATATATATAACAATAATAAGAATCGGATACAAAACAAAGAAAGGACTTGTATTATATATGTATTGTCAATAAAATACTTTGAAATTGAAAGGATTTGTGGCGTTATGGGCCATTTTTGGCTTCATAAAAAGTAAAAGATATAGCTTGTATTTATTTACCTATTTCTGTTATAAACATCATACTGGTTAATTTAGGCTATCTTTCTTGGTGCAGATTTTTTTCCAGTGTGTAAGCGTAGATGCCCTACCATAGCAACGAAATACCATAGCAACGAAATCACGTTGCTATACATAAATAGTCAAAATATGGTGTCTTTGACAGTAAGTAAGCATTCAGAAATGAAAGCCTCCGCATCTTGCTAAAAAAAGTCCCTTTCTGCGAATGAACACTGGTATGACGATGTTTAAGCATGTGACATATTTTTATTTTTTGTTGTTGCATGGGGATGTTTTCAAAAATGAAGAGTGTTTTCCATCAAAATGACCTTTTTTCAACCACATAGCGCATAACAGTCGATATTCACTTATTTTCTTATGAGAATTCGGGTTTTTGTCCCTCTTTGTAATGCCATATCTCCTAAACCAGTTGTCGAATGAATTTGAAATTTCATATTTGCATAAAACATTTATTCCAATAACACAACTAATTCACAACCGAAAATGACATTTAACGCCCCTATTCCAAAGGAAGAGTTTCTTTATAAACGAAAGTAAATAATTTAACAATCTCGAATATTTTTCACTTATTCATGAATGACAAATGTGGTACATGTACCTATGTAGGGCTTTGGAAATGAAAAGTGAACAGATATGGTTTTTTTTTTTATCCTGACAATTTCCCATTTTAGTACTTTTGCACTTTAATGATATAACATAACATATGATCTGCTTGTATGGTTCCTCGTAATTCCACGTCACGCTGCACTTGAAGGACTAGAAGTTATATCTACTTGAACTCATTGGTCAAATGGTTGATCGCACGAGGGACGTTGATTCGTCTGCGACACCTTAAAATATCTTTGTATTGACTTGTGAATTCGTGTTTTAGAAAAGAAAAAAAAAACAAAAACTTTCAAGCTTGTTCGCGTTCGTGCTTTAACGAAAGATTTAAGTTCGAAAACTATATAATGTCCTAATGAATAGTATGGATGTATTTGACACTGAACAAGTCAATAGTTTGTGTTATAGCCGGGTTAAACAGGAGGATCATCAATATTTTGTTTTTTTACTAGAAATTTGAAGCAACCGACCTGGATAAAAAGGATTATGGGAAATTTTACGATGGTGATTCCTACGTCATACAAAATGTAAGTGTTTTAAAAGAAATATACCGGTGGGGTATATTGCTATTGATTTATGATGTGTTTTTCAATCGATTTTTCTTGTGAAGTGTAAACATTCCCGAATGTTAGCAAGAGATCTGGCACAAGTTATTGCTACTTATTTACGTCATTTTCAAACGTGACATAAATGGCAACAGGCAAATGATTAAACTGAATACTATTTGCATTTTTTTAATTTATTTTTTAAGATGAATTGGTTATACTGTATTCAACAAACTGGTGTCAATCTAAAAGTGTTTTATTATTGGAGGTTTTAATTTAGACATACAAGGAACGAGGCAGTCCCGAGAAACATCAGGATATCCACACCTGGATAGGAAAAAACAGCACTGTTGTAAGTTTATCGAATGTCAAGGGGTCATCGTTATTTTATATCCAGATGCTAGAATGTTCGTAGGTTTCAATTTTTTGTGCTGGAAGATTAAACTGTATTTGATTGTAATTCCAAATTCGATTGTAAAAATTGCCAAACTTATAATTAGTACTAGGTATGTGACGGATCAATAATTTCTAACAGTTTAAAGAAAAAATGTCCACATGCAAGCATGTTGTTTTAAACAAGTAAAGATTTTTCAGCCACAACAATATTTATTAGCCTATTTATAAATAGTTCGTTGTTCCCTACAGGATGAGAAAATGGGAGCCGCGAGGAAGATGGTCCAGTTGGATAAACAGTTAGAGGGAAAAGCTACCCAACACACTGAACATCAAGGCAGAGAGTCAGAAACGTTTAAGTCGTATTTCAAAACGATAACGTAAGTATTCACCAGCACTGTTAGCAGTTTGAAAAGTGATTAAACTCGTTCACCCTCCGGTAAGTACCGACTCGTACAAAGTAGTGGGTGAGGGGAGAAAGGACAGTTTAGTACAATCACGCACATAGTTGGTATTCAAATGCTGTTTGGAGACATTTTTATTCATTCACATGACCTGCATAATAATTTAGGCATTAATGATGTTAGGGAGTTTCATTGACATATTTCCAAAAATTTACTTTGAAAATCTACCAGGAGACATTATAAGATCTTGAATAACGTTGACGAATTTAGTTTTCCATTTTTTTTAGTAAGGCATATATATACGTGTGTTAATGCATGTTAAATTGAAAATAATCTAAGCGTGGTCACATTTGAAACACCAGTTTTATGTATAAACATTTATTGTGACAGCATTTCAGTCGGTTTTTATCTCAAGTGAACGCTACCTGCGGAGCACATGGTGTACATTGAAAGCCATTGTGTGAGTGGTATTGTAATCTCTATCTATAACAAAAGAGATCGGGATGTTCGCTTAAGTTGAATGGATGACCACAGACCTAATTCCGTGTTAAAGCCAACGTAGTAATGATTTAGTTTCGGTCCCTTTTCCATGGCGCTTCGGTGTTTTCTGCTTCGGAGTTTTCTGTCTTTTATTATTTACATGAACATAGTGTTAATTCCCAGGTATCTCTCTGGTGGAGCTGACTCAGGACTACGGCATGTGCCGCGCGCCACATCAGCCTGTAAACAACGCAGATTACTCTGCTTCTCCAAGGACGGGGACAAAGTCAATGTTACTGAGGTTTGTAAACAAAAAGACAAATTCAGGGTAACTTATATTGTAAGCATGGATATAAAAGGATTTCAGAACTTTGTAAGCACGGAGATAAAACCATGGTTACTCGAGTTTGTAAGCACGGAGACAAAATTAGGGTTACTAAGGTTTGTAGGCACGGAGACAAATTCATGTTTATTAAAGGTATTTATAAATGTACGATGGCAGTATTTTAAATGGGGCTTATTCAGTGCAATTCAAGCTTTCTCCAAGACCAAAAGGTCAGGATCATATAAAATAATAACACATCTTAAAGCATGCTAGACGAACCCTAAAACAAAATTAGGGTTACTAAGGTTTGTAGGCACGAGACAAATTCATGATTATTAAAGAAATTTATAAATGCACGATGACAGTATTTTAAATGGGGCTTATTCAGTGCAATTCAAGCTTTCTCCAAGACCAAAAGGTCAGGGTCATATAATATAAATAACACATCTTAAAGCATGCCAGCCCAACCCTAAATCACCGAAGACAAACACCGGCGAAAACGCAACTGTTGTACAGAAGTACCGGGATTATGAGAGGTTAACAATTAATCCCACATTTGCATGGTACATTTCCTCAGCACTGCATTGGCTACAGGCAGAAAATTCCGAAAGAAAATCAACTTTCTGTTATAAAATCCTCAGATATGTGTTTTGATGTTTGTTACACAGATAGGGCGACAGAAGGAGACACAACTAGACAGTAACCACGCGTATATCCTGGACCTAGGACTGACAATTTACCAGTGGAACGGGAACAAATCGAGGACAGACGAGAGGAGGACAGTACGTACATAATTATATAAATTTTCATTTCACTTCCTCCTGAAGTCCATTCACTACACGTGATATACAGTTGACTCTGCCCGAGAGACCAAGAGACCATCATTTTTTTTTCCTCACCACAAATCAATTAGCTTTATATAAGTCCTCTATTTGGAAACAATTTGAGCTTCTCTCAGAGGGTCTCGTAATAGATATTTGACTTAACACGAATAGGTTGAAACACAACATACCAGTTCGTATGCAGACTTTATATATTATCCCTTCCATTAAATTGAATTTCTGTTCAGAGGAATTTGAAAAATAACAATTTAGTCAATATTTCGTGTTCAATAATAGTATATTTGAACACTAAACACAACGTAAAAGAGGGCACACACACTTATTTAGCTTGCTAGTATACGCTCTTCACTGTCCATTGAAATTACTTGTAGTCAACCTCTTTGACGAATATGTCATATAGTACTTTAAACTAATGCAGCAGAAACAGAATTATTCCAGACTTAAGATGGACAACGTAGTTCCATAATCATACATCTAATTAGCGCTTGTTATTAAAAATAATCCGAATTAACTGGCTAACTTCTGTTTACTTTCTTTCCCTTATGATATACGTGTAGTTAATTCGGAATATCAGCAAAAGAGCTCAGCTTATAGTTTGAACTCGTCGTTGTTGGGTTTTTAGCTCACCTGGTCCGAAGGACCAAGGGTGAGCTTATGCCATACCGCAGCGTCCGTCGTCCGTCAACTTTACACTACTAGTCATGAACCACTGAGCGGATTTTAACAAAATTTGGTGTGGAGCATCCTTGGGTGAAGAAGAACCAATTTTGTATAATTGGTGGGTCTGGACCCCCAGGGGCCTGAGGGGCGGGGCCAAAAAGGGGAAATATAGCAAATTATTCTTTAAAATCCTTCTTCTTCTGTAGGAATGAAAGGATTTGGTCCATATTTGGTCAGAAGCATCGTTGGGGGAAGGGGAACGAAGTTTGTATAAATGTTGGGTCTGGCCCCCCTGGAGGCTGAGGGACGGGGCCCAATAGGGGAAATATAGCAAATTCTTTAAAATCCTTCTTCTTCTGTAGGAATGAAACGATTTGGTCCATATTTGGTCAAGAGCATCTTTGGGGGAAGGGGAACAAAGTTTGTATAAATGGTGGGTCTGGCGCCCCTGGGGGCTTAGGGGCGGGGCCCAATAGGGGAAATATAGCAAATTCTTTAAAATCCTTCTTCTTCTGTAGGAATGAAAGGATTTGTTCCATATTTGGTCTGAAGCATTCTTGGGTGAAGGGGAACCAATTTTGTATACACAGTGGATCTGACCCCCCAGGTACCTGAGCCGTGGGCCCAATAGGGGAAACATAGCAAATTATTCTTTAAATCCTTCTTCTTCTGTAGGAACGAATTTTGTATAAACGGTGGGTGTGGCCCCGCTGTAGGCAGAGAGGTGGGGCCCAATAGGGAAAGTAGAGGTAAAACCTTTAAAATCCTTCTTCGACCATCGGGATTAAGGGATTTTATCCTTATTTAGTCTAGAGCATCCTTTGGTGACGGTGACTCAATTTTGTATAATTGGTGGGTATGACCCCCGTAGGGGCATAGGGGTGGGGCTCTGTTTGAAGTTTGTTCTCTATATCTTAAGTACTGGATGGATCTTTCTGAAATTTCATATGTTCTAACAGCACCTACCATGGAGTGCTATAGCTTTACTTCATACCAATTACTTTGATTATATTCAGGTGAGCGTTACAGGCCCTCTGGGCCTCTTGTTTACATTTAGTTTTGTGTGTGGGTCATTGATACATGTATCTTATCTTTAAAATTTCCTTCTTTTTTTGTATTTGTTTATTTTATTTTGTTATTTTGGTGTTTTCATTTTACAGGCGTCTAATTATCTACAAGATCTAAAGCTGTCTCGTGCAGGCAGGACAAAGTGGGAAGAGCTAGAGGAAACAGACCGTGAACAGCATCTCAAATTTGTATCACAGATCAAAAAGCTGAATGGGTTTATATAAAATCGTAAATTGAAGAATATTCTTCCACATCTTTACAGCTTTAAACCAGAAAAATAGCGTGAGACACAGCGACATTTATAAGAGAAGATAGTTTACAAACTACATTATAGGTCACGTGATGTAGATAATATGCAAATCTAGAACTGTTGAGGCCATAATTCCATTATTTTTTACTTCCAGGTACTGCCTTCTGTTATTTTTGATATAGTGATTTGGATTTAAAGAAAGTTACATGATCTCATAAAATTTTAAAAGTTTTCCCATATTTTAAGTTTTACTAGGTACAGCCAGGGACGTATACTGTTCCTGGTACAGCTGAATGAAAAATATGTATAATAATTAGATTGGAACTTTATGTCGAATTTATTTATGCAATGCTTCTTCATTGTAGATACAAGACTTACTACCACATACATGCGATCCTTGCCGTTTATCCTTTTTAAAGCCGTAATTTGTTACATTACAATCAGTGTATAGACAGTGTGTATTTCTACTTGTACTGATCATGCACCTCATTTCTATTTACAGATTATGCACATTGATTGTTCATGTACAATTTGCATAATTTATGCACCTTATGATCCACTCTCAGCATCACCAACTGTTTTTGTTTCAGTATCTTATATTTTGGATAATTAGTGTCTTGATTGTACATAAAAGAACGTGTCTGGAAAAATATAACGTGTAAATTGGATACTTGTTTGTCAAGTCCCAGTTTCCTCCGGCCCTGACATCAAACTTGACAGAAATATTGTCTACTGAGGGTCAAAATGTCCATGTCTGGTGCAAGGGCCAGAGTAAACTCGGGCTGTTGTTTGTGTTGAATCTCAACATCATTAAATAATAACAGAATCTTGTATTTTCACTTTGCATTGTTTTTTTTATTGAAATACATGTACAAAGACATTTTGTATTACTGCCCATTACTTCATAGTAAATGAAGGGAAGCATTTATACACTTAATAATAAAAACATATGGGCTAAGCAGTAATAACCATAGTGCAGACAAAGAAATTTGTCAAATTTTCTGTCCCTATATCAAGACAGGAACGTAAAAATGTACATATCACAACAAAAAACAAAGAAAAACAGTCACCATGAAACAATGATACAATATAAAATACATCAACAGAAGTTACCTATATAAAATATACTGTTGTAATTGCATATCCCTTCGGTTAGCTTGTAACCCAAGGCAAGATATATATATATATGTATATGGGCAAAGAAGTCATAACTCCTGCCGTTCAGTAATGCTATCGTTATTACTTATGAGACGTATATACATATATTTATATATGTGTGTGTATTATGATATAATAGACAGTGACCTTTACTCCCTATCTCTGTAACTTAGATATAGTATATGTATTGTTGTCGCTATTCTTACACAGATATAAAATGTTCTGTCTAGTCAATGGCATTACATACTATAATGTATTGTAAAGACCAGTGTCTATTACCAACAACATGTTCCCCCTGGTCATTAGCTTGTTATGATCTACATTCTCTATGGAAGAAGGACAACATGCAAATCATTAGATTTATTTGAAATAAATGTATAACATCAGTTAAATAATTTCATATTATTAATTGAATTTTTGATAAAAAAAAAAAAAAAAAGACATCCATAGAAAGCAAATGAATAACATTTTTGCCAGTGTTTGAGAAATGTGACTCCTCCAAATATCTAGATGGCAGATAAAATATTCGTTAAATTAATGTAATTTTCTAATATGAGCTGAAATAGCAAAGAAGGAAACAGCTGTAGTTGATGGTGAATCAAACTATTCGCAGGCCAATTAGTAAATGTAAAAACATGTTGTCAACTGAAAAATTTGTGAAAGTATTTGGTGACCTTTTTTTTAATACCTATATAAAACTGTTTTGTAATAGTAAATAACATCGACACTGAAAACAGTCATTGAGGTACTTTATCCATACATGAAAATAAAATAAAATAAAATAAAAAATATAAATATAATCCACAAGATGACATATTGTATAGCATATATATATGTATATCAAAATAATAATAAACAACATTTATATAGCTTTCTAACTAATATAATTTGCAAAAAATTGCATCAATCAAAAAAAGAAAAAAGAAATCCACTTGTCTTCATCTATATTTCAAAAATGTATATTGTTTCATAACCTTCACCTGTTGGAGGAAATAAAGGTATTCAATCAAATTCATGAACAAGAGTCCCAATGGGCCTGCATCGCTCACCTGGTATTAATCTCACACTCGTATTCTTAAAAGTGGACTATAAAACATCAACAGGCACAATATCAGTGTTTGATTCATAAATACCTATTAAAAGATTTAAACATATGACGCCTGTGACCTTGAATGTCGAACAAGGACATCAGGTTGAAAGTGGATCAAGGTCATTAATTTGATTAAACTTGGTAGTCCTTCATCCCAGCATGCTACAGGCCTAATTTCAGTACCCTGGGCCTTTTGGTTATTGAGAAGAAGTTGTTTCAAGATTTTAAAACATTCAACCCATGTGACCTTGAAAGCTGGTCAAGGTCATTCATTTGGACAAACATGGTAGCCCTTCATCCCAGCATGCTACAGGCCCAATATCATTACCCTGGGCATTTTGGTTATTGAGAAGATGGCGTTTGAAGATTTTAAGACATTTAACCCATGTGACCTTGAAAGCTGGTCAAGGTCATTAATTTGGACAAACTTGGTAACCCTTCATCCCAGCATGCTACAGGCCCAATATAAGTACCCTTGGCGTTTTGGTTATTAAGAAGATGGCGTTTGAAGATTTTAAGACATTTGACCCCTTTGACCTTGACATTTTGTCAAGGTCATTCATTTGAACAAACTTGGTAGCCCTTCATCCCATCACTACAGGCCCAATATAAGTACCCTGGGCCTTTTGGTTATTGAGAAGAAGTTGTTTGAAGATTTTAAGACATCTGACCCCAGTGACCTTGAAAGTGGGTCAAGGTCATTCATTTGAACAAACTTTGTAGCCCTTCATCCCAGCATGCTACAGGCCAAATATAACTACCCTAGGCCTTTTGGTTATTGAGAAGAAGTTGTTTGAAGATTTTAAGACATCTGACCCCAGTGACCTTGAAAGTGGGTCAAGGTCATTCATTTGAACAAACTTGGTAGCCCTTCATCCCAGCATGCTACAGGCCCAATATCAGTACCCTGGGCCTTTTGGTTATTGAGAAGAAGTTGTTTGAAGATTTTAAGACATCTGACCCCAGTGACCTTGAAAGTGGGTCAATGTCATTCATTTAAACAAACTTGGTAGCCCTTCATCCCAGCATGCTACAGGCCCAATATCAGTACCCTGGGCCTTTTGGTTATTGAGAAGAAGTCGTTTGAAGATTTTATGACATTTGACCCCTTTGACCTTTGAAAGTTGGTCAAGGTCATTCATTTGAACTAACTTGGTAATCCTTCATCCCAGCATGCTACAGGCCTAATATAAGTACCCTGGGCCTTTCGGTTATAGAGAAGAAGTTGTTTGAATATTTTAACATATTTGACCCCTGTGACCTTGAAAGTGAGTCAAGGTCATTTATTTGAACAAACTTTGTAGCCCTTCATCCCAGCATGCTACAGGCCTAATATCAGTACCCTGAGCCATTTGGTTATTGAGGAGAAGTTGTTTAAAGTAAAAAGTTGACGCCTGACAGACGGCCGGATGCCAGATGCCGCACCATAACATAAGCTCACTTGCCTTTCGGGAAGGTGAGCTAAAAATCGTACTCCTAAATAAAGTCGTTTGAAAACAAAGGCATACCAATCAGCATTATACCTAAAGGTAACCAAACCATTACCTTGTACAATTTACTCTCTACTCCATATAAACATAATAATATCGTGTAGATGGCGTACAATGTACTCTCTACTCCATATAAACATAATTAAAGCGTGTAGATGGCGTACAATGTACTCTCTACTCCAAATAAACATAATTATAGTGTGTAGATGGCGTCTGTGCAAAAGAGCCTAAAATGCATGCAGACATAAAAAGATGGGTTTTTATATTAAAAGCAAATTTCCACCAGGTTTTCATAACTAGCTCAATATTTACATGTAATAGATTTTCCACAAACAGGCCAATATATGGGGAAAATTTTAATTCAATGTTCGACTCCCTAAGCTTATTTATTTCTCACTCTCTATATCTCTCTCTCTCTCTCTTATCCCTTACTTTTTAAACTTTACTTCTTTTTTGTTTGTATCTTTGTATCAAACTTCTTTATTTATAACATAATATATTATTTTTAATATCAAAATTTACAAATACAATAACAGAAGAAAATCACAACTTTTAATCACATGTGTTAACTAAAATAGCATTAATGCTTATCACAAAGGATTAAACCGTCATTAGTAATATTTGAAGAAACATCCAAAAAGCATCTATGAGATTATAACTTCAATCAGATTTGTTCCTGCGGTCATGTATAGAGAATATAGTACGTCAGGTTAATCTCCATATAATAAAGCCACAGTGAGTATCATTTATGTGGAAAAGATAGCAGTATTGTAAGGTTATTAATCAGATAATTTCCCTATAAGCCCAGTTATTAGGCCAAGGTCTGTCATATTGACAGACGAAGGCCAAATAAGGCTCCGTGGTTTGTTGTCTTCTGCTGTTGTCAATGAAGCATTACTGAAGGTGAAGGTAGTCATCGTCGATCAGTATAGAAATGTTCCGATTAATATGGCGGGCATTTGATAGGTGCGTTATCCATATTGGCCCAGTTCATCAATATAATGACAATCTCCTTTACTAAAATTCAATGCAGGCACAAAAACAACCTTGAATTGATGATTCTTATGAATAAATCATAATAGTTCAATCTGAAGTTCAACTTCAAGACTGTTCAAATTACATTAATTATTCCTTATAACCTAGAATTGAATCTCCAGTGCAAAATGGGTCAGTCAAGTACCGGGCCACCTGAAGTCTGCTCCAGGCAAGGTGTGGCAATCTATAGGCTTGCTGCTTTGTTAAATCAATGACAACCATAAGGCCTGCTCTATAACAATTAATTACAACCTATATTTCCAGACCAGTGAACAACAACCTGTAGAACTGTTTTAGATAATAAATGACAACTTATACGACTACTTTCGTCAATTATTTACTATTAGTTAGGCTTGCTCCTGTCAATAAATGACAAATTATCAACAGATTCTAATTATGCAATAAACGAAACATACAGGCCTGCTTAAAATAGGTGAAGTAACAGGCCTACTCTAGCCAATCAATAACAACCAGTGACAACATTAGGTCTACTTAAGTCAATCAATGACAACCTAGCTATAGGCCATGTATAACCAATCAATGACAACCTATCGGCCCACTAAAGACAATTAATGACAACAGATTGGCCTTCTATAACCAATCAATAAAAACCAGTGACAACATATATATTTACTTAAGTCAATCAATGACAACCTATAGGCCATGTATAACCAATCAATGACAACCTATAGGCCATGTACAACCAATCAATGACAACAAATCAGCCCACTATTGACAATTAATGACAACAGATTGGCCTTCTATTGCCAATCAATGACAACCAATTGGCCTACTATAGCCAATCAATAACAACCAATTGGCCTACTATAGCCAATCAATGACAACCTATTGGCCTACAATCGCCAATCAATGACAACCTATTGGCCTACAATAGACAATTAATGACAACCTATTGGCCTACAATAGCCAATCAATGACAACCATTCAGCCTACTATTGCCAATCAATGACAACCTATTGGCCTACAATAGCCAATCAGTGACAACCTATCAGCCTACTCTTGTCAATAATGAAAACCTATTGGTTGTTATAAAATTATAGGCCAGCTTAAGAATAAGTTGTTGCATAGTCCAGTTTGTCATGTTTCTATGCACTTATTACATTAACACTAATGCTTTTAAATGATTGTTTTCCAATTTTGTATGTGGTTTTGTAACTAATATGACACATAATATTCAAGGAATATAATATCACTACTAAACCAATGTCATAATTTGATCTAGAGGATTCTTGTTCTGTTTTGTGTCATACTGAAATTGTTCAGTTTGCGCCCAAATACTGTACATCAGGAAATGTTCGCCCCTTCACAACAATACTCCATATTTGCCTGGTGTTAATTCCACCCTTCAAATTCAATTTCTATGCATTTTATGTTGTTGACTGATTTCAGTGAGATAGCACTATAAAGTCGGCATCAGATCCGCACTATCTCAAGGAGGCAAGAACAACAACATACCCTGTGTCCTGCATACACGCACGCCAGCACGCATACACTACACATGGAGGCACTTCCTTAAATGACCTTAGCTGTTAATTATTAATAGGACTTTAAACAAAATTAAACCAAACCAAACCAAAATTATGTTTACTATTATGATAAATTGCCTTCATTATGACAGTTGAAAAAGGCAAGTTGAAAAAGGCAAAAAAAAACTGAAGCGAACATTTCGCCATATAAAGTATACATTCCCAAAGCAACTTAAAGTAAATTATGATGTATGAAAATATTACTCAGATGAAACAATACCCACTCTTAACATTTCTATTGTGGAAGGATATATCATGTACTTGTTGGTAATGATGATCGAACAGCACCTTGATGCATCAAAAGCAAAAGACACATACTTTTCATTAAGTTACAAACTACAGCGAAACCTTAATCATCCAGCCCCCGAGTTGTCCATAATCCTTTTAGTGCAAAATAATGCAGTAATCCCATTTCTAGAACCACTACCTAGTAAACCTGTATATTCAAGCATTCTGTCTAATCTGACCAGTATATTGTGTCCCATTAGAAACATTTCACTGTACTGCATGGATCTGGTTGACTTAAGTTTTATACTGTACACAAAAAAACACCAAGTATATATGCAAATCAGTCAGTCTTTGAAGAAATGGGCAGTTTCACTGCAATAATTCCATCATGTCCGTCCCTCATGTACACGTACCAGCCCGGGAGACCGTACCCGGGGTTGTCTGTCTGTGTGTCTGTGTCTCCCGGCAGGTACAAAGGACAGAATGACCTTGGTCCCTTACCAAGGCAAGGTAAAACCCCGAGGAGCTCCGAGTTGTTACTGAAGTAGGATAGGTGTTCCTTGTACTCCTTAGCTGAATCTTCCTGTTGTGTCCATGACAACAGGTATCCATCTGCAGAAAACATATATTGCACTGTTTAAGTTTGGAACAATAAGCGAAGGGGGCCTGCATTATTCACTCCTGTGTATTTGTTTTCTGAACTTTGCTAATTGTACAATTTCAGGTTAGAAACAACTTAAAGGATTCTGGTAAGAATATGCCTCAACTCCTCACAACCTTTTTCCAATACTGAACCCTAATCCTCTGCAATCAGCCACACCCTCATTCAAACAAAATGAACTCCATTAAACAAGAAATTCTTCATATCAAATCAGAAGTAAATCAGTCGGGGTTTTTTTGTTGGGAAGGGGGGAGGAGGGTCTTTTTGTCTCGTATGGAAAGAAAATATACCAATTGGGAAGGACAATTTCGGAAGTTCACCGAAATATTGGAATTACAGCATAAATATGTAATAGTTTCAACTGGGAATGGGGCCAATTATCAGCACCAAAAAAGTCAAGAAAAAACCCTGTAAATACACCCAGCCAATTATCATTAAAGATCTATCTGTATTCCCTCTAGTGTGCAGCATGCACCACTCCTTTGACCCCAGAGAGGACCACATCCTTCAAATTAAATTATATAAAACTGGATCCATTTGGCCAACAGATGCTCTATAAAAAATTTAGTCAAAACTACCAAATTGTCTTTAAGGAGTACAGTCTCTTTTTTTGGGCTCCATTTCTTTGACCCAAGGGGAGATTTACCTTTCATTTGTGCAAATATTTCCTTTTCTCAAAAGGGATGACTTGTAACTTTTAAAGTCAATATAAACATAACCTTTCATAACAATATGACTCCTAGAACTAATTCAAAGATGTTTTCCTCTTTTCCCTATTGGGCCCTTATGGTCAATCTGCTGAAAACATCAGCTTCAAACAACAAAAGGCTACAGAATAGACAGAGATGTTGAGGGCCCACAATGTACCACTGATAATATAATATACATGAAATGTTACAAATTTCGAACTTTCTATTCAGACAGCATATATCTATTATTACACCTGCCTGCAATTTACTGCATTAATTAGATAGAGACATCCACTGACCTTGTTTTCCAACAAACTGGTGTTCCACTGGGAACCCACAGATTGGTAAAACCTCTGTGATGACAACTTCTATTGATCTGAGGATCGAATGATAATTAAATATTTAATAACAAAATTTTTGTAATTCCATGCAACAGACATGCTAATTAAAAAAATGCAAATGACAATATATATAGGTACAGCTAAATTATATACAACTAAAACTAACTTAAGCCAATGCAAATCAAATTATTAGCTTAAGGGAACATAGGTTTCAACAAGTTATAATTAAATATTAGAAATTTTGAAAAAAAATCTTCCTAACGAAGCTTGGTTTTAATGAAAACTTCTTGAAAAGACTTAACTCTTATCATTTCACAAAGATTGACATGTGTAAAGTTTAGTAAATAATGCCTTACAGATGGACATACATACAAGCAGAACAAAAAGATATATATATATCTATGAATCTACCTAGCATTGTCCAGCGGTATCTGTAAGGTCACCAAGTTCATGTCCATTCCTAGGATGACCTGTCGGTAGGAGTGGCCGTCTTCTGTCCTAGAACGACTGTTCAGAACCTTGACCGTACTCGTCTTTATCTCCAGGCCATCCTCAGTGATCTGTAATCCCTTCCTGTCAACACAAGTAATACAAGAGTAAATACTAACCCTTTATATGGTAAATAAAAGACATGTTCAAATGGTAAACAAAATTCTGACCAGATTATAGGCTTGCAAAACATATGTGGATATGGAGCTAAATTAATGCTCAGTATGACTCAAGAAATAGAGCTTAATGCTGAATCTAACAAAAGCAGAAAAAGTAGATGACGGCATCCGGGAGTCACTTATGTTTGATATACTGCTGTTCCAGAAAAAGGTGTACAGCCTACCTGTCACAGCTAGCCCTGACTGTTACTGAGTCCAGGGATGGCGTATCTACAAATCTCAGGGACTCTCTGTCTCTCAGGGTCACCATGACAACAGAGCACTCCAAGGGTGTGATTTTCTGGATAAGAGGAAGGGTCTCGTCGACCTTGATGTTTTTGTCATTCCAACACCACAACCTGGAATAATAAGAAATTGGATCAGTCTTTAATACAGGGTATGGCAAGGGAATTTTTGCTTAATATTCATAGAATATCTTTCCAGGATAGTGTTGAATAGTTTGTTTGCATTTAACATCCTATTAATAGCTATGGTCATTTAAGGACATGCCAGGTTTTGTTTAGTGGAGGAAAGCCTGAGTTCCCAGAGAAAAAGCCACCGACATGAGGCCAGCACTTGGCAACTGCTCCGTGTAGGCCTCGAACCCGCGACCCAGTGGAGGAGGGCTAGTGGTAGCAGAATGTCAGACACCTTAACCACTTGGCCACTGTTGACTAGACTGTACACTTAATTAGCTGTCAGTTATTCACCTCAACAACTACATTGTCACAAAATCTAACCCTAAACAATATAACAATGTGACTAATTCATGTCCCTGGAACAGTGATATGATGCCCTCCATGAGACTTAAGAGGACCAGTATATAATTATCAGGTGTTCCATTATAAAGTTCCAATTAAATGATACCGTAAGTTATATATTATCACTTCCTGGTTAGATAGCAATTTTGACTTGAGTTTAAAAGATGTAAGTGTATGTGAGTGTGTAGAAGATTTTATTTGAAGTTGAGAAAAAGTGCAAGTTTTTAAAACTATGGCCAATATTGGTTCTCATGAAAACACCATTATTTGTTACCAATACTGCATACAATGCAACCGTCATATACATTCCTAAAAACAGAACCAGTATCGTTTACATAATTACCCTACTTTACATTATACCTGTTTATGAAAACATAACTTATTATGGCGGAGGAAAGCCGCAGTTCCTGGAGAAAAACCACTGACCTACAGCAAATACCTGGCGACTGCTCCATGAAGGTCACGAACCCGCGACCCAGTGGTGGAGGGCTAGTGGTAGCAGAATGTCAAACGCCTTAACCACTTGGTCAACAAGGCCCCTTTGTGAGAATAATCAAGCACTAAAAAGATCGCTAGTTTAAATTTCTATAAGAATCAGGGATATTCTGGGCTTTCCTCTACGAATCATGGAGGAAAACTTAAGTATTCTGTTGCCCCTACTGAAATACTTGGGACCTATATCTTTTCTTTCCTCTCTCATCTGAAGCTATTGGGTCAGAAATGTCTGACTACACCTCAATGTTAGTTAAAATTCACAGAATCAATAGTTTCCTTATTTTAAAACATGGTTTGCTACCAAGCACAAGAGGCTCAGTGGGCCTGTATCGCTCACCTGTTTCTTTTGTTACATGAAACTGACATATAGGTAAATTCAGCCCAATTTGGTACCTAGAACACAAGACATCTTAAGATCTCTTAAACGGTCTTATGATATTGTTGCTTGAAATTTGAAATTTGAATTTTGAAGCTTTTAACCCAAGTTGACCTTTGATTCTGACTAGTACTTAAAGTTGAACTTTGACCTCACTACTGTAAGAAAGAAAACGATTCACATAGTTGGTCTACATAATATACTTGTATAATATACATTGTATCATGACTCTAGACTACATGGTTCTGAAGATATTGTTGTTTGAAGTTTTTAACATATTTGACTCCTGTGACCTTGAAACAAGGTCAAGGTCATTTTAATGATGAAATTTTATAACACATTATCCCAGGTACCTACTAGCCAAATACCATAACTCTGGGCCTTATGAAACTTGAGAAGAAGATTGCTAAATGTTTTTACCTACATTAACCTTTGACCCTGGCTAGCTCTCCAAAGGTGAACTTTGAACCTCATTACAATAATAAAGAAAAAGATTCATACTGCTGGTCTTCATAACATACCCAAGTATCATATAACTCTAGTCCTTTTTAAATTTGTTAACACATTTGACCCCTGTAACCTTAAATGTAGGTCAAGGTCATTTTAATGAGGAAATTGTATAGCCCTCCATCTCATCTACCTACTGGTCAAATGTCGTGACCCTAGGTCCTCCAATTCTTCTCAAGAATTCGTTCAAAAGAAAAAGTAGATGGACGGATGGCGGATGAAGGACGACAGACGCTGCAGTACGACATAAGCTCCTTTGCGCCAGGTGAGCTAAAAATGATTCATCACCCATCCATGCATGGAAATCTAGGAAAATTGGGGGTGGGCTTATTACTGGACATTGGCTTATCACTGGTAGAATACAGTTGTATGAAATGAAGCACAGCATACCTAGACTCGAAATTGACCAACACCAGACTGCTGCCTATGACGCATGGAAAAGCCTGTTCTGCATCCTCTCGTTTGATTTTATCCAAAAGTTTGCCTTTCTGTCCACATACTATGAGATTACAATGTTCACTGAAAAAAGACAAATTGCATGCTTGTACTAATTTGCCAAATTAATTAAATACGTAACAATGGATTTTATTAATCAAATGCAACACTAGCATTGACTACATACATTGGCATGCATGTACTCAATTAGAGTAAACCGGAAATCTTTTTTTTTTCTGTTGTATTTGGAGATATGGCTAATAGAACTGTCCTATTTGTGGTCTTGCGTCATAAGACTTAATTAGACACCTACTGAATTACTTATGTATACATACATTATGTAAACCACAATAAACTCTGCACAGTATCTGAATTATCATAAAACAACATTTTACAGTTTCTATAGCATGAGCTACAATGGTTGACAGTGAGTAATATGGCTGGACAGTGCATTACATGATTTACAGTGAATGACCTTGTTGACAGTGAGTTACATGGTTGTCAGTGAGTTACACGGTTGTCAGTGAGTTACATGGTTGTCATTAAGTAACATGGTTATCAGTGAGTAACATGGTTGTCAGTGAGTTACATGGTTGACAGTGAGTTACATGGTTGACAGTGAGTTACATGGTTGTCAGTGAGTTACATGGTTGTCAGTGAGTAACATGGTTGTCAGTGAGTAACATGGTTGACAGTGAGTTACATGGTTGTCAGTAAGTAACATGGTTATCAGTGAGTAACATGGTTGTCAGTGAGTTACATGGTTGACAGTGAGTTACATGGTTGTCAGTGGGTTACACGGTTGTCAGTGAGTTACATGGTTGTCAGTGAGTAACATGGTTGACAGTGAGTAACATGGTTGATAGTGAGTTACATGGTTGTCAGTGAGTAACATGGTTGTCAGTGAGTTACATGGTTGTCAGTGAGTAACATGGTTGTCAGTGAGTTACATGGTTGACAGTGAGCTACATGGGTGACAGTGAGTTACATGGTTGTCAGTGAGTAACATGGTTGTCAGTGAGTAACATGGTTGACAGTGAGTTACATGGTTGACAGTGAGCTACATGATTGAAAGTGGATGACCTTGTTGACAGTAATTTACTTAGTTGACAGTAAGTTACTTAGTTGACAGTGAGCTACATGGTTAATAGTGAGTTACATGGCAGACAGTGAGTTACTTAGTTAAAGTGAGTTTCATTGTTGACAGTGATAAATTGTTTGACAGTGATTTAATGGTTGATAGTGAGTTACATGGCTGACAGTGAGGTTATGTGTTGACAGTGATTACTTTTTTGACAATGAGTTACTTGGTTTACAGTGAGTTTCTTGGTTTACAATGAGTTACTTGGTTTACAGTGAGTTACTTGTTTGACAATGAGTTATTTGGTTTACAGTGAGTTACTTTGTTTACAATGAGTTACTTGGTTTACAGTGAGTTACTTGTTTGACAATGAGTTACTTGGTTTACAGTGAGTTACTTGTTTGACAACGAGTTACTTGGTTTACAGTGAGTTACTTTTTTGACAACGAGTTACTTGTTTGACAGTGAGTTACTTGTTTGACAATGAGTTACTTGGTTTACAGTGAGTTACTTGTTTGACAATGAGTAACAAGGTTGACAGTGAGTAGTATATCTGTCTAATCATGTTGTCGACAATGGTAGTTCATAATCGTATACTTACATAGTTGGTGCACAATAGTAAAATATTTCAGATCCTGCCAGTTTGTTGTTTCTGCGGTTCGGAATTCCTCCAAAATCTGTGACATTATATGGCTCTAACTTGAACTTTGATTGCAGGAACCCCTCTCTGCTGCTACAGTCAAGGAACTGCAAGTATTGTACATAAAGTGTCTGATCATGTTCATTCTAACCATCAACACCAAGTCAGCTAAAATATATAAATATATATTATTTTTGCACCATTTTTTTTCAACCTTTTGTGCTATTGGGGACTGGTGGTATGAACCCTACTCATTTGTCTTACTTACCACTGTAATGTATTCATCACCGAATACAAAGCTGAGAGCCACTGTCTGTCCATATGAAGTGTAGCAGCTGTTCCAAGTTATACATGGTGAATGACAACATGACCTTTCCATCATCAGTTTGTTAGTCAGTGGTGTTTTGGGAAACTCTTTCCTCTTTTCTTCCAGGTCTGTCATCATAGCCTCAATATTCTGTCAAATCAAATTTCAGAGAGTTGGCAAACATCATCTCAATACAATGTGAACACAAATGTATAGGAGATAGCACAGGCAATATACTGACAGCACAACAGTAAAAGGAGACAATACCATTTATATACTGTCAACACAAAAGTAAAGCGAGATAACACCTTCCATATACTGTCAACACATATACACAGGTAACGAGAAACAACACCCTCCATAAACTGCCAATACAAAAGAAAAGAGAGACAACACCTGCAATATACTATCAACACAAAAATAAAAGAAATGATACACTGATTATACTGCCAGAACAAACATAGAGGTAAAGAATACTCTCCATTTACTGTCAACACAAAAGTAAAAAGAGATAACACCCTCAATATACTGTCAGCATAAAAGTAAAGGATACAATTCCCTGAATATACTGCCAGCACAAAATAAAGGGAGACAAAACCCTCCATAAACTGTCAATACAAAAGAAAAGTGAAACAATATTTTCAATATACTGTCAACATGAAAGCAAAAGGAAAGAATACCCTCAATATACTGTCAGAACAGAAGTTAAGGGAGATCACACCCTCAATATACTGCAAGCACAAAAGTAAAGGGAGACAAAACCCTCAATGTACTGTCAGCACAAAGCAAAGGGATATAAAAACCCTCAATGTACTGTCAGCACAAAGTAAAGGGATATAAAACTCTCCATAAATATACTGTCAGCACAAAAGTAAAGGGAGATAACACCCCCAATGTACTACCAGCACAAAAGTAAAGGGAGATAACATCCTCAATATACTGTCAGCTCAAAAGTAAGGTAGATAACACCCTCAATATACTGTCAGCACAAAAGTAAAGGGAGATAACATCCTCAATATACTGCCAGCACAAAAGTTAAGGGAGATAACACCCTCAATATACTACCAGCACAAAAGTAAAGTGAGATAACAACCCTCAATGTACTGTCAGCACAATGTAAAGGGATATTAAACTCTCCATATATATACTATCAGCACAAAAGTAAAGGGAGATAACACCCTCAATGTACTGTCAGCACAAAAGAAAAGGGAGATAACACCCTCAATATACTGTCAGCACAAAAGTAAAGGGAGATAACGCCCTCAATATACTGTCAACATGGAGGTAAAAGGGAGATAACCCCCTCAATATACTGTCAACATGGAGGTAAAAGGGAGATAACCCCCTCAATATACTGTCAACATGGAGGTAAAAGGGAGATAACCCCCTCAATATACTGTCAACATGGAGGTAAAAGGGAGATAACACCCTCAATATACTGTCAGCACAAAAGTAAAGGGAGATAACACCCTCAATATACTGTCAACATGGAGGTAAAAGGGAGATAACACCCTCAATATACTGTCAACACGGAACTAAAAGGGAGATAACACACACTCTCAATGTACTGTCTCAATATACTGTCAGCACAAAAGTAAAGGGAGATAACACCCTCAATATACTGTCAACATGGAACTAAAAGGGAGATAACACACACTCTCAATGTACTGTCAACACGGAACTAAAAGGGAGATAACACCCTCAATATACTGTCAACACGGAACTAAAAGGGAGATAACACACACTCTCAATGTACTGTCTCAATATACTGTCAGCACAAAAGTAAAGGGAGATAACACCCTCAATATACTGTCAACATGGAACTAAAAGGGAGATAACACACACTCTCAATGTACTGTCTCAATATACTGTCAGCACAAAAGTAAAGTGAGATAACACCCTCAATAACATGTAAACACCAAAACTGTATCAATATGCCCAATTCACTGATTATAAGTCTGTAGATATAAACTATGTAAATTTAGGTAATTTCTTTGGAAAGACGTCACATCTGTGCATCATTTTAGTAGAATAAGAGCCTAGCACATTCAAAAGTAATCAGATAAGAATATGGGACTAGTTTTTTTAGACAAGATTGGTATTATTACAATTATGAATTCCTGGGTGATTTTTAAAATTTTCATTTTTTTTTAACTCTTGTCTTTAAAAGGTGTTTCATTGACGATCCCATTGCTGTTGAAAAGGGTTATATAGGTAGTTTTTATGTCGATATAGTCATTGAGACATGCATACACAGAGTGTATTTCAACACTGATTTCAGCCACAGTTATACATATTTTCAACTTCCATCTAATTCACATTATCACATTGATTGTAATTTTCAATTCAACTTATATCATTAATGATTGCTGTTATACCGTCACACTTACACAAAAGTAAACCTCCCTTTTAGCATCATTCATGTACTTCAGTATCTTCAGACAGTCTTTCTGCCATTGTTCTGATTTCTTTTGTAGAAGAGCTTCCCTCATGATTGTCTGCTTCATTTTCTGTAGGTAAATGATCATGAGTCTGGAATTATTTTATATACTCCTTCTCTGTATCAACAATTTACTGTTTACAGGGAAATGTTCGCTGAAGTTCAATTTTCACCGTTTTCGCTCGCTGTTTTGAAGGCGAATTTATCAATACAACACACATAAGTATACAACATAACATGCATAGTAATTCAATATGAAGGGAAAATTAACAAGGGGTCAAATATTGTTTTTTCTAGCCAAGGGCAAAAATTTGACTGGCCGAAAATTTCCCAAGATATTGAAAAACTTTAAAAATGCAATATTAGAATTTGGAGTATATCTTTTGACCCAATATATATTTTCATTCCTTACTGATCATGACATATCACATTCAGGGTAGGACAGAGAAATCTCCTCACAAGGAGTACAATTTTAACAGTCTAACCAAAGACTGAGAATATACTATTTCCTGGCCAGAAGTGTTAACATCTTTAAGTGGGAAAAACAGGTATCTGTCAAAACAAAAGTGGGATAATGGGGCAATCGCATTACTGGTGGTTAAACAAGGCAAATACATGTAACTCTAATGTAAAAGAATCTGAAAACTGCTCTTGAGCTGATTCCTGTTTGAATAGTACAGAGCCTCAGAACTGATTTGTGTTTGAATACAGGGCGTCTGATCTGATTGCAAATTTAATACTGGGCTCCAGACCTGATTTTAATCTTATTACAGAGTTCCAGAAGCTGGAAACTGATTCCAGTTTAAAAACAGGGCTCCAAGAACTGATTACAGTTTTAATACAGGGCTTCAGAAATGATTCTTGTTTTAATACAGGGTTACAAAAATGACTGTATTTTTAATACAGGGCTCCAGCAGAACTTATTGCAGTTTTAATACAGGGCTCCAGAACAGATTTTATTTAATACAGGGCTCCAGAACAGATTTTATTTAATACTGGGAACCAGAACAGATCGCAGATTAAATACTTTTTGTAAAACTGTTTTGTAAGCCTACCTCATATACCAATTGCTGAAATATCTTCAGAGCACTAAGCTTGGCACTTTGACCTTTGCTATCTGACCAGAAGAAGGTGACAGCTTCATGTTTTGTTCTGATGCGATCGTTAGATATATCAGGTCTGTTTAAATGCATAGGTAACATCATCTGCACCTTGGTTCCAACGTCGTCGCGATAAACCTCAACCGGACATGGTATAGATCCATTATCTGTCATTAAGAAGAAAAAAGAAATTTATCTGACATTCATAAGAAAATTACAAATACTGTGTGTAAGTAAACTAAAATAAAAAATCATGTCTTAGACTCTATAATGCCTACAAAGTTGATCCACCTCACCGATTGGCAAACTTTAACATCCCCTTAAGTTTGACTGTGTGGAGCAAATTAATGGTTTGGTTATCCATTTTGGATACAGTACTCATAACTCATAATGAAATAAAAAGTTGACAAATGAACTATAAAGCAGCCTCACAAGATCATAAATGTGTGTCAATGAAACAGATCATAAAGGTGTGTTAATGAAACAGATCGTAAAGGTGTATTAATGAAACAGATCATAAATGTGTGTCAATGAAACAGATCGTAAAGGTGTGTCAATTAAACAGGTCATAAAGGTGTGTTAATGAAACAGATCGTAAAGGTGTATTAATGAAACAGATCGTAAATGAGTGTCAATGAAACAGATCGTAAAGGTGTGTCAATTAAACAGATCGTAAAGGTGTATTAATGAAACAGATCGTAAATGAGTGCCAATGAAACAGATCGTAAAGGCGTATTAATGAAACAGATCGAAAATGAGTGTCAATGAAACAGATCGTAAAGGGGTGTCAATTAAACAGATCGTAAAGGAGTGTCAATTAAACAGGTCATAAAGTTGTGTTAATGAAACAGATCGTAAAGGTGTATTAATGAAACAGATCGTAAATGAGTGTCAATGAATCATATCATAAACGTATGTAAATGAAACAGACTCCTATATAAAAGCTTGTTAGACTTACCAAAACTATCATAGGGTGTGTGCTCATGATTAAATCTGTCCAATGTGGTCCAAGGTTCAGTTCTGCCTGGGGTGTGTGGGAAACACAGCTTTCTGAGTAAGTAGAGAATATGAGTCTAGTTAAATGAAGGAGGAAACCGGAGTACCCGGAGAGATACCTCGATGTCAGGCAGGCGACCCCATACCTTTTTAGTCCAATCGGGGAATCAGACCCCAGCTGCCTTGGTGAAAGGCAAGTGCGTTATTAAACTGTGCCAACCGACCACCAGAAAGTTCCCAAAACTTTCTTGTTCTGGAAATAAGTTATTAGTTCATTCACCCATACATATTTAAAATGGACTTGCCCAGTCTTTGATTTGGTAAGGTTAAAATGTTACTTCAGGGGTGAATGGGTTTATTACGCAGGAATTATGTATTCTTCAAACATTTCTAAATTGAATTTCTAAACTTGACATCATCGGTACAATGGTACACTAATTTCGACTACAATTCAGTAGAACAGTGATCCCAGCATTAATATAGCCTACAAAGTAACATGATTGTCACACTAAATATTTACACACACCTGAAAAACTTTGACTGTTGAAAAAAGAGGAAGTGCCTTATTATTAAACTTGTCAACAAATATCTACATTATACAACCATACAAAAAACTGGTGGAAATTGCTACATCCAACGTATACATTGTAAAGTATCTCGCATGAACAGAATGCAAAGATAACCCCTGAGAGGTAGAGAGAGAAGAGTTCTCTGTAGAAAGCAAAGTTAAACCTACAGATCTAGGGATTCTAGTAAGTTTCAAAAAGAAATTAAAGAAATTAATAATGATATAAAAGAGACACACATAATCTGTAACACATGTTACAGGTTTAATTTTCAGCTGAATAAATTTTAACCAGATAAATGTATTGGTATGTGAGCAGAAACGGCTCGGAATCATGGAACAAAGCAACAACAAACCAAACTAGAAATCAGCCTTTTTCTTAGCTGATACCTATAAGTTCCAGCCTCGTTAATCAAGCCACATTCATTCTGAACAGGTTGACTGGTTCGTAAGATAGCCAAATAGTAAGACTGTTAAATTTTAAAACCATCAGACTGTGAGACCGTTATATTGTAAAACTGCTAGAATTTAAGATGTGATGTATCAGATCACAGGACAGCCAGACTGTGAGGTGGCCGGGATACAAGTTGGCCGGAATACAAGGTGGCCAGGATATAAACAAGATGGCTGGATGTGAGATAGTTGTAAACTGAGACAAATTTTAATATACAAAATGGCTGATCTGTCCTTGAAAACACTAGCTGTTTACCGTAATTAAGTGGTGGCTAGATCAACATCACTCAAATGTACTTTGAAATACGGACAAAAACTATGCCTTATAGACAAAAACCTGTAAGATTATATGGAAAACAATCCTTACCCAGTATAGGGGTCCAAATTGATGCTTCGCATTGGGGGGAGCAGTGTCTTCATGTTTCCTGTCAAATAACCTTCAGAATTTAGTCGAAGGTCAAGGTTGTCACAGCATAGGTCAGCCTCTGTCGGTGGAATATCACTGAAAATAAATAAATTAATAAAGTTTTAGTAAAATTGCACTTGTAGAACAACTATTTGTACCAGAATTATATATATTTGTCCCTGGACATTTAAATTTAAAGATACATAGTCGACATTTAGTCACAGTAAAACATACCAGGGAAAGATCCAACGTCCTCTAGTTGTATGTTCAGAGAAGTTCTGTGTACCTCAGTTTATGGATTCCTCAATGGAATTCACTAGTTCGGCCATATAAGAGTTATCAAAATTGAAAAGAAGATATGACCAGATAACATCAAAAGGGGAGTCTTGGTAAATTTAATCCATTATGTTTCGGCCCACTAGCCAATAGGTGGGTCACCATCAGAACTTAATGGGCCGAAACATGTAAACTAGATTAAATTTGCGGAGACAGTAAAACAAAATATATAGTTCAGATCCTGTTTGGAGGTGTTAAGCATCCTTTTGAAAATATTGTTAAAGAAGACACAAATTAAAATGTCATATTCATGAATTAACACTGCCATGAAGTTATTACGTCCCATATCTACTAATTAACACTGCCATAATATCACTATTCTTATCCTTTAATTTTCATGTACTAACATAGCTGAAGTTCCCTTAATTATACCTTCAAAGGACTTGACTGAGGTTGGTATCTCAATTACAAGTGTAAATAAGATCACACACCCTGAGGGGCTGTAATATATGGGACCTTCACAAGAAAGCCGGACCACAAGTAGGGGTGGGGTGGTGGTGGGGTGGTGGGGGTATACTTAACGCATAAAATACTGAAAGGTACAGAACAAAAATATTCGATCAATGAACACAATGCGTACACCATCATAAAGGATAATGGGCTACTTGTTGGTGGTTACTCTCACGATGATACTGTATAGCGGTTATATTTTGCGGGGTTTTTACTTTCGCTATATTCGCTCTTTGACTAATATCTGCGAATTCTAAACACCAGCAAAATTATCGAAAATGTTAACCACTTTTACGGACCTTATCACAACATGTTGAAAATACTTATAACTGTTATGCAAGCTTAAATGAACTCAAATCATATTATCAACGGACAACTGGGCAGTCCATGTATAAACAACACTTACATATACACAGTAGGTGATTAATTGATTACAGTTTACTCCTACAAAGGTACATACACATTTGGTTTTCTTTAGAGTGAAGTCACTGGTGGATGATGACGCTAGGGATCAGTGTTTTCAAACGGTTTACCTGTATTTAACAGGGTTTTACATTAACCTCTAAATAATGACACTCAAAAAACTTTGCAAGACACATGGGATTCAGGTGTACAGCAAAATTGTACTGAATACGAAACCGCAAAATATTGACCCCAGGAATTTAAAGCGCTGTACAGTAGAACGAACAAAAAACATCTGTGTCAGTTCAAACAAATAAATTTCATAAATAAGTAACTTGCTCCAGGATATTATGTCTTTAACTTTCACTTAGCCCAAGCTGAAAATCTGCTAGCCCTGGTCATCAGGCTTGTGGATTTTTACAACCCTGATTGTGTGTCTTGTATATCCCCATCTTTAATTTGAGGCAGATACCTTTAGCTGGAGACTGGGATTGTAGTCTCCTTCTATATCATGGGGTGATCACAGACCTGAGGGGTTGTCGAGGAAAACTCCAAGGAGTATGAATAGATACAGTCACCTGTACGGAGACGGAGATACTGTAAAGAGGACCTCCACCAGACAAAAAAGGCTGGGGCTGTCATTTTTGTCTCGCCGCGATGAAATAGTGGAAGCGAGACTAAGGTGTTACTTACCGGTGGGGGCGGCTTCAACATTAAGTTTTTGCATTAAATTTAGTTTCACTGAAAGTATACAGTAGTTGCTAGACCAACCAAACTTGGACCATAGATGCATCTTATAGGTAGTACATCTCAACCCATGCATCAAATGCGGGATGCGACCTACCTTTCATGGTCCATTGACTTTTGTCAGCATCTCCATCAACATTGAGATTTTGCGTTTAATTAAGTTTCACTGAAAGTATACAGTAGTTGCTAGACCAACCAAACTTGGACCATAGATGCATCTTATAGGTAGTACATCTAAACCCATGCATCAAATGCTGGATGCGACCTACCTTACATGTTCCATTGACTTTGTCAGCATCTCCATCAACATTAGGTTTTGTGTTTAAGTTAGTTTCTCCGATATATGTGCATTGATGGGCAAAGCGAGATATATAGGTGAGACATATCAATCCGAATGGCTTGTTTCTTTTATTACCTGGAGGAATCACAGACCCTGAGGGGCTGAAGATGGGACCTCCACAGTACTTGCAGAGGCTGGGGTAGTCTTGCCTTGGAAACCATGGCTTCCAAAGCAAACCAGACATTCTGACGCTGTCTATAACTGGCTACATTGGTCCGTGATCTCGAGAGCATCCGCAATCCTGGTGCGTCTGTATCGCCATCCATGTTTGCTCTGTAATACATTTGTACAACCATCAAGATATTTTATAATTGAGAGCTTCAAGTGGCTTTTTTATTGAGAGCTTCAAGTGGCATGTATTATATTAAATATAACTAACAGATCATAATTCAAATAAAAACAAGATGCAGTGTAAATGAGTGAAATATGGTCAATGCAGAAATTTTCGTTGTATTTTGATTTTTGCCTTTTTAGCACACTGTAATGAAGGCCAATTGATCATTACAGGGAACATAAGTTAACAAAACAATATGCTCAGTAATTAAATGTGAAGGCGAAATTAACATTGGCCATGGGGGAATATGAATTATTCTGACGAAAGGCGAAATTTCACTGGGCTAATTAATTAATAATTTATTCAAAAATTAACAATGAGGTAAAGACTAATTACAGCTACGTCTGTCAGAATGTCCTGTACAGTACATCTACAATGGTAGACTGTGTCTGATGCCTGCCCAGACAATGAAGTTTGAAGATCTAACTTACCTCTGTAAGAACAACCTGTAAATATTGACTACCTCTGATCCCAATTCAAACAATAAGGTATAGATGCCAAAGGTTTTGCCAAATTTGAAGACCTCTCGGGTGGAATTTCCCTATCCTACACCCCTGGGCATGAAAGAGTCTTATACTATCTAACCTATACCTCTGTAAAAACTCCCTGTAGGTATTGACTGCGTCAGATCCCTGCCCAGCCAAAGCTTGCAGCATACTGAGATAATACTGGCATTGTGGACACACATCTGACAATGCCTTCAGTCTGTTTCTGGCCTTCTCAAAACTGGAATGTTCATCAGGACCTGAAAATGTATAGATCAGGTTGTATGAAAACAACTTTATCAAAACAGAATAATTATACATCCTGTTAGAAGATTACAGTAAAGCACAATATAAAATGTCCACTGGACTCACTACAGCATTACACAAATGTCAAGTCCAAGATACAAAGGTACAACAGTAAACCAACAGAGCAGAATAAAAACAAAATCTTTGAGCAAATTGTACATCTTCTCATGACACAGAGACAACAAATGTTTGGTTTGGTTTGGTGTAATATTGTTTAACGCCCTATTAACAGCTTAGGTCATTTTAAGGACGTGCCTCCATGTGTGTTGTGTTTGCGTGCATGTGTGTTGATGTGTGCTGGAGGCAGGGTATGTTGTGTATTTGCCTCCTTGTAGTGGATATGATGCCGACTTCATAGTGCTATCTCACTTAAATACCGTACTGAAGTCACCAAGCACAGCATTCCTTCCGGTCACATCATACTGACAACGGGTGAACCAGTTGTTGCCATTCCCCTAAATGCTGAACGTTAAGCAGGGAACAACAACTCCCATTTTTAAGGACTTTGGTATGTTAACGTTCAGCATTTAGGGGAATGGCAACAACTGGTTCACCCGTTGTCAGTATAATGTGACCGGAAGGAATGCTGTGCTTGGTGACTTCANATACCATGTCTCCTGCATACATACACGCAAGCACACATACACTACACACATGGAGGCACATCCTTAAATGACCTAAGCTTTTAACAGGATGTTAAACAAAATTAAACCAAACCAAACCATGGAACACCACTCATTTCGCTTCACACGAGCTATATCACAAATTCCTCATTACTTCCAGGATATTAGTGATACATGTCTCCCATTCCTTTTGCTTAATATTACAACTGCTAGAATTTTAGAAAACAAATCAAAGCTGAGTGTTAACAAAATGAGCTGATTAGGTAATTCATGATGAAGAATAGAATCATCTTATATCATGTAAAACTGGTGTTATCAATGAAGAGTAGCTAGCACTTCTAATACTAGTGGTGTAGGATTCTAATTGTGTAAATTGTGGGCACCATTGTGAAAATGTGTATCATTCCTTTTTTGAGTGCCAATTATATTCAAATGCTCATGCAGTAATGCTTCAAGCATTAATAACTTAAATATGCAAATTAGCTTAAATTTGTTACTTTTTGGCAATGATAACCTAAGGCTTTGGATATAAATTGTATTGTACTCAAACATGTGCATTCCTTCAAAAAATCCAGCGGAAGATTTTGAACAAAAACTGTATGTATATATATATATTTATTACAATTGACATGAAATTGACTTCTTTCAATAGTTGAATTTGAAATTGTCCAAGTCATCACTTGTATATGAAATATTTTATTGATAGGAGCTGTTTTCATAATTAGTTGCTATAACATGTGCCAAATCCTTTGTACCTAGGTATATTTTTGGACAATAAAACATGTTAAAAGTCAGAGCAGCACTTCAGTTAAAAGTACATTTGAGGTCAAATTTTATAATCTGGTAAACATCGTGCAATGCTTGAGACTTTGGCTGTTGATTTGTAGATTTTGCTAGGAGCCTCCATGTGCTGACTAATAGATCAGTCAGGGAGGAACATGTATAAGAAATTGTTTTTCAGTCATACCTATCTGACTCTAGAAATTCACCTTTATTAAGAACCCATGGGTGAATTTCCAGAGTCAGACAGGTATGACTGAAAAAAAACCCATATATGTTAGCTTTTCTTGTGACAGGAGAAATTCACATTTAATTGCTTTATGTGCCTCATTACTTATGTCTTATATACAATAGGCGGTACTTACTCATAAAAAGTTTATCTGACATGTACTGCATGTTTTGTTAAAAAGGTATAAACCACGTACTAGATTTCTGAGGAAAGTATTTCCGTACAGAGAGGAAGAGAGAGCCTATTCCAGGACAGTGGTATGTATCGCCTCTGCCATCGAGGCCTCAATGTATAGTCTAGTTTATAAAACAGTAATTCCACAATGAGTTGCTCAGCTGGGTATGTAACATAAGTCACTCATTACCACATGAATGCCATACTTGAGTATGACATAGACTTCACCCAGACTTTACCAATCTAACTTACTACTAGTACCGGTAAGTGTTTTTTCTGTAACTGGCATGTCCTTAAAGTGACCTTAGGTGTTGATAGGACCTTTAATCCCAACTGTAACTCACCATTGCCAGGTCCGGAATGAAAACACAACATGGAGATGATGGCCATGTTGGCTGCCCCCTGATTGAACCCTTCGGACGTTACCACGTATTTCCAATGGTCAGCAGCACTCTGCGCCTTTTGAGCGGTCATCATACTATAATAAATTGAATGTACAAAATCAGAAAACATTTTATGATTTTGAAGAAATTTTTATTTTGAAATTAATGGGTTTTATTTTTGATTTAATTTTAATTTATTACCTTTAATAGAAATAAAAAAAAACACTCTAAAGGTATGGAAAATTGTCCTATGTGGTATAGAATAAGAACACAATTGACATTATCAGAAGCACCTAGCACAGAAAGTTATATTTCATATTCACTGTTTATAGCAAGGTTCTCACATATTATCAGCAATATTTTATTATTTGAATGACAAAAAAAAAAAAATGATTATTTTTTCAATAAAATTAAAAAGTTCAGTTGCAGTAAAATAACTGTTTTAAAATTAAAATTTACAACATACGCCTATATAATAGCTTTAACAACTAGCATTGTGGTTGTTATTTGTGATAATGAGATATATCATCTCACCCTTTGATCATCACATTATCATATACATGGTTTCATCCTGAGATACACCATTACATCAAAATCTCACCCTGAGACACACTATTACATCATAATATCACCCTGAGACACACCATTACATCATGATCTCACTCAGAGACACACTATTACATCATGATCTCACCCTGAGACACACCATTACATCATGATCTCACCCTGATACACACCATCACATCATGATCTCATCCTGGGACACACCATAACATCATGATCTCACCCTGAGACACACCATTACATCATGATCTAACCCTGAGACAAACCATTACATCATGATCTCACCCTGAGACACACCATTACATCATGATCTCATCATAGGACACACCATAACATCATGATCTCACCCTGAGACACACCATTACATCATGATCTCCCCCTGAGACACACCATTACATCATGAACTCACCCTGATACACACCATCACATCATGATCTCACCCTGAGACACATCATTACATCATGATCTCACCCTGGGACACACCATTACATCATGATCTCAGCCTGAGACCCACCATTGCATCATGATCTCACCCTGAGACCCACCATTACATCATGATCTCACCCTGAGACACATCATTACATCATGATCTCACTCAGAGACACATCATTTCATCATGATCTCACCCTGAGACACACCATTACATCAGAATCTCACCCTGAGACACACCATTACATCATGATCTCACCCTGAGACACATCGTTACATCATGATCTCACTCAGAGACACATCATTTCATCATGATCTCACCCTGAGACACACCATTACATCATGATCTCACCCTGGGACACTCCATAACATCATGATCTCAGCCTGAAACACACCATCACATTATAATATCACCCTGAGACACACCATTACATCATAATATCACCCTGAAACACACCATTACATCATGATCTCTCCCTGAGACACACCATTACATCATAATATTACCCTGAGACACACAATTACATCATGATCTCACCCTGACACACACCATTAACTCATGATCTCACTCAGAGACACACCATTACATCATGATATCACCCTGAGACACACCATTTCATAATAATCCCACCCTGAGACACACCATTACATTATGATCTCACTCAGAGACACACCATTACATCATGCTCTCACCCTGGGACACTCCATAACATTATGATCTCAGCCTGAAACACACCATCACATTATAATATCGCCCTGAGACACACCATTACATAATAATCTCACCCTGAGACACACCATTACCTCATAATATCACCCTGAGACACACCATACATCATGATCTCACCCTGAGATACACCATTACATCATAATATCACCCTGAGACAAACCATTACATCATAATATCACCCAGAGACACCCCATTACATTATGATCTCATCCTGAGACACACCATTACATTATGATCTCACTCAGAGACACACCATTACATCATGATATCACCCTGAGACACACCATTACACAATAATCCCACCCTGAGACACACCATTACATGATCTCACCCTGAGACACACTATTACATCATGATCTCACCCTGAGACAAACCATTACATCATGATCTCACCCTCCATAACATCATGATCTCACCCTGAGACGCACCATTACATCATGATCTCACCATGAGACACACCATTACATCATGATCGCACCCTGAGACACACCATTACAGCATGATCTCACTCAGAGACACACTATTACATCATGATCTCACCCTGGAACACTCCATAACATCATGATCTCAGCCTGAAACACACCATCACATTATAATATCGCCCTGAGACACACCATTACATCATGATATCACCCTGAGACACACCATTTCATCATAATATCACCCTGAGACACACCATTACATCATGATCTCACCCTGAGACACACCATTACATAATAATCCCACCCTGAGACACACCATTACATAAAAATCTCATCAAAAGACACACCACACACATTACATAATGAAAAACACAATCTCACCCCTGGTCATAGACACTGGCCATCAACATCAACATCTGTCCTGTCACCTCCTTAGAGTCCTTCGTTGTCTTCCCTTTCTCCAATGCAATATCAGCAGCCATTCTGTAAAACCGACACGCCAGGTCAGGTTCCCCTAGCTGGGCATGCATACGTGCCACTTCTACCATACACATGGCACGGTAGCGACCTACGATAAAGTAACACTAAACAGATATTAATGTAGAATAAAAGCTGTTTGTTTGTGTTTTACTTCCTATTAAGAGCTATGGTCATTTAAGGACCTGCCAGGTTTTGGTGGCGGAGTCCCCCGGGGGGAAAACCACCAACCTGCAGGCCAGTACTTGGCGACTGCCCCATGTAGGCAGTAACTTGGGATTTTTTTCAGAAATGGTCAGTCCTTGTTAGAATCAAAACCCTTTGATTATGAAAAACAGGACTAAAAGTCACTCAATCTTCATGCAAATTGCAATGACATTTAATTAAACAGATACATGGTTCTAGATACAGTTGTGTGACCGCACAACGCACCGAAAATAGCGTGCACACACTGTGCATTCATCGTTCACACACCGTTCGCACATCGTCCACACATGGTGCGCACAACTGTGCGATTTAACAATTGTTCGCCCCGTTGTGCGCTTCTCTCAAAAACTGTGCGATTGGGTACAATTTGTAGATCAATATTACGGAATGAAAAAAAATATGGAAATCTTGTATGCAATAATGAAAACTGTATGTATTACTGTAATTTCTTATCAATTTCTAATCACAGTTGTGAAGATTATGTACAGTTTTACAATGCGTGTAACACAGCATTACAGTGACAGTTGAATAGGTTTGGCTCCTAGGTCACAGAACAGGTAAATAACAATTTGATGAGTGACCAGAGTTTTACCTGGCCTGTACCCGACACATAGAGCTGATATACGATACCGTATCATTTAGTATTTGTTATTTGCATTTGGTTTGCCACAGCTCCCCTTCACCTGGATTTTCACACCCCTGGCCCTACCCGACATAATACATAATGGCACCGGGCGGGGGAAAACTATGGTCCAGGTACATGTACCAAGTGGCTATGTTTACCTGTATACAGGACTGTGTTGTAATTTCACATGTGTCGATTGAGTTTGTTTAAAAAATACCGAAAACACAATTTCTATTTTTAAGAAAGTATAGACATAAAGTTAGGCTTATATATGTAGGTAGAATATAGAAACATACATAAAAGTCAAGTTTATATGTTTAAACACGAAGCCGTATATATGGTTAAGGCATTCCTCAATTTACACCAACCACGATTGTTATCGCACAACGTTCATCCATCGTGCACACAAATGTGCGCAAGCAATGATCGTCCAACTTTTTATCGTTCGCACACCGCACATCGTGTAACGTTGTGCGATCCCACAACTGTACAAAAAACTCAGTTCTATAAATTGTGAAAATTCCAAATAATTACTTCCTGTTTAGACAGCATAAAGGAAGGGAACCCAAGAAGTGGATCAACGACGTCTCATTATTATTACCATATTTGTCTGCAACAAGCTCATATATCTGGTGCATTAATTGGTAATAATTAAGCCAATTCGTATCTATTGATATTGAAGTTCAGTAGATATGAAAACAATGTTATTTCATGGTCCTGTAATTGGCCACCCTTGATACTCAAGGAGTTATGATCACTTCAGCTCTCTGCACCTCTTGAATATGTCATAGCAAAATGGAAGGCTCCGTATGTGCCACATTATTGATGAGACAAGGAGACTGTAAAAATTGACAGGCTCTGAAGTAGGGGGTCCCTCCTTTGTAATCTTCAAAGGACAGGTATATGTACGTACCAGCCTAGCAATTGGTCAGGTTTTAACCCATAGACCAATCAATCAAAATATGAAAGGAATATTGGAAATTTAAGAATATTAGTGTTAATGTTGTATTGTAGCTTTCTTCGTGCCCAGCTATTTTCGTGTCCTCAATTTTGCTATGACATGTTCCAGGGGTGCAGAGAGCGTATTAACCCCCACCCCCCACCCCCAAGCCTATTTGCAGGATAATCATGGTTAATTAGTTTAACCAGTTTTGGCCAAATTCAGAACCTTACTGTCGATCATTTTTAGTGATTTGAATGGATCCTTTCGACTTATTTTATGCGACCGCTTCCATTACTTTGGTGGATTATAGTCGGACTTACTGCGTTTATCCCCGTCTATGAGTTTGGTAAAGAGTGCGGATGCTTGCTGGAGATCTCCTCGAGCCCAGAACACGTAAGGAATCACCTTGTCAAAAAATGTGTCTGCCACATCAGCAAACCTATGAAATGATTAATATAAATAACATGTTGGTCAAATTTAAGCTAATCTACAAAAGAGTTGTCTTGGAGTTGAATATTACATCCTAAGTATCTAACAAAGTTATGAACTTCATTACAATATAATTAAGAAAAAAATAATCTCACCACATTACCTTTATTTATAACTATATCTGCTGAGTTTTAACTCATTCACTCCTGAAGACACATTTGAACTCTTCCAATTCAAATGGAATAGTTTATTATGAAATTTCAGGGAAGAATGAGCTTAAACCTAGGTACATGGCACTTTTTAACATTTTCCTTTCCTTCGGTGGTGATGGGGTATATACTTTAACAAACAAAAATCTATGTAATTTTCCAAAATATCACTTCAACCAAATATTACATATACAGGTACTGTAGCACTAACCCAGACTATTTCATATTTCTGTGAGAGAACTATTACGGACTGTGTACAGTTTTTGAGCTCTATTTCTGACAGTGTACAGAGGGGTACCTACCGTTCTTGCAAAAGAGCATTTTACTTCTGAGAACGAACAACTGCATACTGCTTTAATTTTTGCTGCAGTTTAATTTTCGCCTTTTTCGCCCTTCGTAATGAGAGAGAATTTACCATTGCAGCGAACATTTGTTATTAAAGGTGAAGGGCGAATTTAATATTGGACGAAAATGGATTTTACTGTCGAAGAACAAAAAATTCCTAGTATACAGTAAAAATTTCTGCATATAAAATTTCTTTACCTGATTTTAAGAGCCCCTTTCACCCTCCTTATTGTTGTTTTTGTGGCCGACAGGATTTGTTCTGACTCCGATTTGTGCTCCTTCCCAGCTTCGATGTTTTTATTACTCAAGACAGCAGGCATCATGAGATCCACCAGCGTGGCGAGACCTGTAACAGACAATCTTAATTGTAAGCTTAATTGTAAGTCTAGTTGAAGCAAATTTATTCCACCTTCTTCAATGTCTTCTGAGATGCAACTTATTCTACCTCAAATATAACTTTAATCGGTTTCGCAATCTCATCAGGCACATTCTGGTATCCCAATGTTAATATATATTACACATTGTCACTTATGCAACACCTAGATAATTTAATTTTGTCATTTTTGCATATATGTTAAATATAAGCACCGATTATAGTCATAACCACTCACACACACAATCTCACCCTCAGACACACCATTTTACAATAAGAAATACTATTTCATTTCCAGTAATAGAAGATGATGACTAAATAGCAGGGCTTTATCTGGGAAAAATTTCCACTACCCTTTTTCCATTTAAGCAGAAAATACCCCCACTGCAGGTCACCTTAGTGAGGGCCGAAGGCCCTAACCCAGGGGGAGAGTACGAAAGGGGGACGGAAAGATCCCGTGTCATAAGGGGGGGGGTACAAGGGGGTGAACGCTTTGCATTGGGAAAATAATTCCCCTTCAATTACAAACATTCTAATGATTCCGAAAAATCAATATATGCAGCAAGGCCTTCTGAAGGAGACCCGAAGAAACAGTCGACTTCGACGATCATTTATTTTATTTTATTACAGACGTTAACTAAAAGGGGGAAATTGTGATTGAAAAAGGGGAAAATTTAAGCATGATTTCGTAGGGGAATTTACCAAAAAAAATAATCAGGATAAAGCCCTGCGCATGCTTTGAAGAGTCGAGGAAATAATGAACCAATACAATCTCTAATGAAAGTTGCCTCTATGCACGTCCAATGTACTGAGCTAAAGAGTTTTATAGATACAGTAGTACCGTTAGCCTATTTGATTTGTTAAAGGACTTCTCTAATTCATTCTCTGCTGAGATATCAATTCAATTTATTCACTAATCGTTAATTAGAATATGCAAGTGTTTTTTCTTCCTAAATTTTACAACATTCTGTTCCTAAGCAAATTGGGAAAATACATATACGTATATGTATAGATTTATTTTTATTGAAATCGGGAAGATATTCCTCTTTATATTATAATTTTGGGAAAAAAAGCATTTTTTGTTAAGGGAAGCGGCCTCAGTATTAGCTGTGAAACTAGCCAAACAAGAGATCCCGAGGGATCTTGGCGCCCTCCATTGTACTATCTCCATTAGTTCTATGCCAGTTCGATCTTTCCTCTTCTTTTCTCTTATCTGTCTGCCATCTTAATCATCTTTTGATCAACCTCAAAATTAAAGATGGCTGCCTGTCCACCATTTTGGTTTTGCGATCAGTCCCAAAAAATGATATGCATAACAAGGGATCATGAAGAACCATAATATGAAATTTGAGAAAGATCCTTCCTGTATTTTCTTAGTAAAAGCGCTAACAAGAATTGTTTAAGGACAGACTGACAGAATGACAGACGGACGACAGGACGGACCATGGACCACAGAAGCAGGATGATTTGAATAGCCCACCATTTGATGATGATGGGCTAAAAATCACTGATACCATACTGTATTAACTATTTTACTAGCCTGCTAGAATAGTAGACTTACACCCAAGAAACCGTTGGTAGAAAACATACGACTTTTCATCGTAATTATTTGGCCATGGTTCCATGTGTGTGGCAAAGGTGAACGGCAGGATAGAGGAGGTTTTACTGTTGACATATTCAGAAAAGTTATGAGACTGTGACAACTTTGGAAAGAACACAGAATTCCATATATTTCTTGTAGGCAAAGGACATTTGTAAATTGCTTCACTGCCCCAGTCATCACCATCTGAATATTTGCAGAGGAAGAATTCACTTTTCTTGTTTTCAAATGGCTGCCATTTCGAAAATTCATTTTGTAACCATGACACTTGAAATTTTCTGAAACTGAAGTCTTTGTAAGAATGTTTCACCATGTTTTTCAGTCCTTTCGGAAGTTGTATATGACGGTTTCTTTGGCGTGTGCAGTTCAAACACAGTTCCACCAAAGATGGGACGGTTTTCTCCACACAAGCGAGACTGTCTTCCACCAATTCCTGGGTTTCACTGATGATGTCTGGTTCTATAGCGATATCTAGAAGGGACAAAATCTCATCTCCATGAAACACATACTCCTGCTTTCGTCTTTTACGTTTCTGTTTTTTGCTAGGAGCATGTTTCTTTTCCTGATGAGGCTGTCTACCACCAATATTGTCTTCTTTACAACTTTCAGTATCCTTGCTGGACTCTCCTTCCGTATTTAGAGAGGTCATCCTTTGACTGATATCAGTATCACTGTCTGACTGGGATAAAATCTCCTCTGCTGAAAAATACAAACAATCTTCGTCTGAACTAGAAACATCTGGACCCGGATTACTGGAACTAAAGACCACATCACTTTCATCCTCATCAGCAGATGACAAAGATAAGTTGGACTCCTCATCAACATTCGACTGCCTTTTTGACTTCCTTCTCTTCATTTTCACAGGATTATGCTCTTGTTGATTTGAAAATTCCCATGAAACCATTCTGGTATAGGATGGTCTTGTTAGTCTTTGCTTGATGAGGGATTCCAGTCCGGATCCCTCCTCCATCTTGAACTAACGTTTTGCTTTTTAATTACTGGATGTGTGTAAGAGAGACGTTCTCCTGAAAAACACAAAATGGAAATACAATATTAAAGACCAACTTAACAGGCATGGTATTCAGTTTCAATTCAATTGACCATAATCAGGGCTAGAAACTAATTTTCAAAAACCACAAGCCAATTTTACTAGTCCATGTGCAAATTCCACTAACCCAACATTATTCATCAAAGATCAGGGGGGGACCCAGAAATTAATTTTGGGTGTTGTCCAAAATTTTAAATTTAGAAAAAGACAATTTTTTGCACTTATAAATTAGAATTGTCATGTCGGTTGTACATGTATACTACATTCTGGCACCAAAATAATATAAAGAACTTCATTATATCTGAGATTGTGACAATTATAATTTCCCTGCAGAGCAGAGCGAGGCAATTTTTTCCTCCTTGAAGATGTAATGATAAACTATTTCAAGCACTGCCGAGTGTAGAAAGCAAGAATTTATCGAACATTATTTTCATTGTCAAACAGATCGAGTGAGGCATAGAATAGTTTTCTCAGTTTGCGGTATTTTTCAAGGTTATATTTTATAACAGAGTATTTATATTTTGTGATTGCCATGAGGAGCGAGTGTTAACAAATTCTCTAAAACAATGGTAAAAATGTAGGTTTTTGGTTAAAATGTTGTTGTTTGTGTCATGCATGTAGTTTAGGCAAGCATTTTGGCAATTTAATATTGAATTATTTTGTCATAAATGTGAATTATGATTTAACTGTTCGTCTTTTATTGTGAATTTGTACGCATACATATGTACAAGGGCAACACCTACTGAAAAGGATATACATGCTAGGCTTTTCTGCTAACATATATTGATTATTATACACCTGATAAAGTGATGCTAAGGAGTGTGCTTTATTGTCTTTGAAATTTTTGAAATCTATATTTTTTAATTGGTATAATAAATCACTCCTGGTGATCATGTGTACATGAAACCACAGGTGAAAATACAGGTAAATCATGAAATGGACTCTACCTTTGAAATAACAATTTACCCTATATATATACCTAATTCCAACAGATGGTATTTAGTCGATCCTCTCTCAACTGACAGGGTGATCACCACACCGTGACATTAGAACAATAAGATTAGGTAGAGTCAGTCCGGTGAGCCTTGACCACTGATCTGACTGGAGACCCTACTAATATATAGACAATAGAGGATTAATCCCCTATTGTTTAGAGTATAAGTAGTGGACTCCTTGTTTGGACAACACCCTAAGGCATATAAGTAAAGGTTATTGCATGGTTTTCGAGTAACAAGGGATTTATTACACCCGAGCGAAGCGAGGGTGTAATAAGTCCCGAGTGACGAGAAATCATGCAATAACTGGCTTACTGCATGCTTCCCAACTCGAACAAAACAGAAAAATTGAGTAAAAAATGTTCACCTGGACAATCTTTTTACCTATCCTACACTGCAGATAATTTACATGTACCTGTGTGAGTGAGTACTAATCAGAACCAGGTAAGTTTGTCTTTATTCTCAATAGCCCAGTCTGAGTGTATCCTTCATAATGGATACAAGTGTTTTTGGATTACTATATCCAGCTCCAGTGTCAGGGAAGGTAAGGAGTGTCTGTTCAACAATTAGAACAAAACACGGGAAACAACGTTGAATTTCTCACTACATTTTCAGTTTAATTTTCAAGATGTGGCAAAGGTACAGGTTATTGAAACCATTTTCATACATACAATGTAAGGGTTTATCAATCCCTAAGGAATTCCATTTCTTTCAATGAATGTTATATTTGAATGTACAAGTTTGTATAAAGAAACAGCTCCTAAGGTTTATAAACCTTTCCAGGAAATGCTTATCCTGTCACGTGATAAGGAAATCAATAACGCTGCCAACTCAGTCGTTTTGTTTGTTTTTCAATCATGAAATTACCATTTTTAACTTTATTTTTGTTATTTTTCATATTTTAAATGTGTCAATTAAGTTTATCCTTTCCACTGTATTGACTTCATCGTTACCTTCTTATTGATTATCTCCCCTTTCTTACAGCATTTGTGACCACAGTCCACTGGGCACACCCCTTTTCATGGTCATGTAATCATGTTTGGCCATGAAAGGGGATTATGTGTGCAGTGGACTGTGGTAGCAAGTGATTTATTGCCCACAGTTTTCCATTGTGAGAGGTGGGAAGTATGCAGTAAGCTGGCAAGGGGAAGGCATAGAAAATAATAGTTTAAGGGATGGTTGATATTAGAAGGAAATCCCATATGAAATAGAGGTAATCTTCAAAAACTTTGATCTAGATTATTTTTGGACACAGAAAAAGGGTGTTGCCCAGGCAACTAGGGCAACACCCCTGGGTCTGCCACTGAAGATTGACTTGTCAAATGGGCTAGTGATTTTTTAGAACCACACTCGTCCATCTGGAGATTTCTCTAGAGTCTCAGAATATCTGGAAACCCTTATTTTCTAGCCCTAGTGATGAACTTTACTATAACAAACAGCATTCTGATGATGTACACAGTATACAACAAATAATGATAATTTGAGGTTTTTATATGTATCCTGCTTTATTACAACCTAGGTCGTCTCAAAACGGTTCACAAATAATTATTATCCATGGTTATTGGGCCTTTCCAACCAGCCAACATCGATATCTTTCTTATATAACTCCATGGGGAGCATGCATATACCCACCAGTGCTCACTGCTAGCAATTAACAACAAAAATTCCAGCACTGCCCAACCATGCACTCATTTACAGCCGAGTAGACTGGAACAAGTGGAGTAAAGCATCTTGTTCAAGGAGACAACACAGTGCTGTACGTGACATGACTCAAACCCACAACCCTTTGGTCATGAGCCCTACCCTACCTTACAAATAGATAATAATTTTTTATCTTTCTTACAGGGGGTTTGTTAGCTAACAAAGTTCAAAATAGTCCCACCACCTTCCGTGGGTATAATTTGTTGGGTGCCAGATTAACAGGATAGGAAAATACAGAATTCTAGAATAACTCACTTTTAGCACCTTATATTTAAAAGAACTCCAATGTGTTTTTTTCACTTTCTTTCCCATTTCAGTACATGTAATAAACTTGCTACTGTAAATAAGTTGTATCCAAAAGGATGGATTATTTGCCATATTTGGGGTTAATGTTTTTTAAAATTATGTATTAATATTGTGACCAAAATTATATCATGATTCTCACAAAAAGGCAAAAATTCATCATGATGAAAAGGAGTTATCCATATTGGTAAGACCCCTCAATGCAATGATTAATTAAAACATGTACATATGGTATAAATGACACAGGCATTTTGGAACAAATCTTATATAATGATTGTAAAGCGCTTTAGAGTAATTTTACAAATGATATAGGGCACTATATAAATTTTGTATATATTATTATTATTATAAGCAAGGAATATGATGGTGTGAAATGCCAGCCCAGCTAAGGTTATGTTTAAGCAGAGACATAGTTTGATGTCTCTGGTTTAAGACACTCACTGAAATAAGTGTATATGCATACCATTTTTACCCCAATTTTTTTAAGAGCCAATAACCAGCGCAGGTCAGTATTAGTTACGTTGAAATTGCATTGGTACAATGTCTGATAAAAGACGTCGGCAGAACATGTACATCGTATGATTGTTGCTGACGTCGCAAATCAGAACAAGTGTACCAATGTAAATACAGCGTTATATGATATCCTCTGTTTAGTGGTAATTTTTATATAAGTTGTTACAGCTGTCAAGCATTGGAACAATAACAATCCTAGAGTTAGAATTATACCTACAAATGTACATGTACTTTAATTAATAATCATGTCAGCAAAAGTGTGTTGGTAAAATGTTACAATGTGTCGACATAATTTGTAAATCCACGGACTTAGATAATCTAATTCCGTGGTAAATCATTGCACCATGTTATTCATAGATTACATGTGTACAGAATGTCGACAGTTTCTCATATTATGTCGTCATACTTGAAAAACGTCGACATACTATGGTATATTACATAGTACACTGTAACTAGTAAGTCAATGACATATATATACCACCATACTACTGACAAAAAAAGATATGTACATATCATCTTGCCCAAAACCCCACGATGTACATACGGATCAGGGTTGAGACCCGTGCCATGCCTAATAGGCGGCCTATGGTACAGACTCCCATCCCATGATGCGGTTACACTGTGCTAGGTCTCCAAACTTCTGTGCTAGTGCTGAAACTTCAATTAAGATGAATACAACTAGAGCCTTGTCAGGTCGCTGAGCTTAACCTGATTAATGCTCTTCGTGGTCAGTCTTTTGTGGACTGTTATACGGCTGAAACTTACCAAAACGCCACTTCAACACAAGCTGTCAGCACAAACTTTGATCTTTCTGCCCCTACATGTCAAATTTACTTCCGGTAAAAATACAAATGACGAGTAGCCTCCCCTGACACTACAATAAAAGTTGGAACAAACATATTCGGGTATAAATCTTAGCGGACCTGCAAATGTTCAAGGCTCACTTGAAAGCAGCATCAGATTACTAAGTCCGAACCTTATTTCATAAGCGTTCCAACCGGGTCAAGCGTTTGGATCGTGATACACTAATTGGAGTATTAAATGTGGGTGATAGTTTGTTTCTTATGAATATTTAAGATGGAATATATACTTTAAATCTTGTCATTGTTTCGTGTTAAGGACCCCAGGGCCCACTTGTATAAAACATCTCAACTCTTGAGATTTTCTAAAGTCTAAGATTTCCCATAGACAATGCATTGCTTGAGATTTTCCTTAACTTTGAGATGTTTTATAAAGTGACGCCTGTTCCTCTAATTTCATTGAGTTCAGAAATTAACCCAGTATAAATATTTGACATACTACATATATGTGACATACTTTTGGAAATTTGACCCATAATATGAAAATGTTATGTTATCAGGTCAAGAATCTAACATCAGACTGTTGTTTGTTCAAAATGGGTAATTGTGACCTAATTTTCAAGATTTGACCTACATTATCAAAAATAGTCATTTGACTGAAAAATTAACATTATTTTACAAAACAAGGTCATTGTGAAAATATTTTTCAAAATTTGACTAATAGTATATTTTAAGAGTTTGTCGTTGGATTCAGATATCAACATTTTACAGTTTTTCGACAAAAGTAGGTCACAGTGATCTAGTTAGGTAACACAAAATTAGGTGCATATTTCTGAGCCCCATGAAAAGTACTATTAGTGTAGGTCAAACATTGAGAAGTATGTCACATGTATGCACAGTGACCTGATTTTGTCGGGGGATGGACGCCAAGGTACGCCGATGTTACTAGGAATCAGAATAGGGTCCGTTTTCAACAGTCAGTTTTCAATGGTCTACATTTGGCAAAATTGACCTCTTACGGGGTACAATTCCAACGGAAGAGTCAGTTTTCCATGGCTTCATTTTCAACGTTGGAAGCTAATCCCGGTTCCATTTAACACAAGGTCCATTTACATGCCTTGTTCATTTTTGGATCAGAACTATTAAGTCCTCTATACCAGAACCTCAAAAAATAAATAAAAAACATTTGTCAAATACTTCTCTTCGTTATACATGTACATTGATGTCTGTGATTTGATTGTTGCTTTGTAATTGAAGAAAAATTCTTGATCTGTCCAGTCATTGTCTAGCTTATTTTTAAAATAATTAACAGTTAGTGCTGATACGAAATCTTCTGGCAGTTCATACCAAATTTTAACTGTTCTTATTGATTTGTTTTCTGAACATATTAATTGATCGCTTGGGGAATATGGTTTTGGTGTGTCCTCTGCCATTGTGGCGATAAGCGGCATCTTTCCTTAGTATGACAGCATTAACACATTCTTTATCATATATTTGACTTATTATTTTATACATATCAATCATATCTTCCCTCATTCTCCTGAAGGCCAGTGTTGGTAGCTTTAGTTTCACCAATCTCTCACTGTTGGGCAGGTCCCTCTTTCTCGGGAGGCACTTAATTTGCTCTTCTGTGATATCCTTCTTTTTCTTAGGTAGGTAGGATGAGGGGGGCAATATCTTGCATCTATTCCTGGTTCCTGCGTGGGTGGTAAATATGAGATCTAATATGTTTTCACCTCGAGTTGGTTTGTCTCCCACCTGCTGTATGGCCAAGTCCGCTGCTAGTTACAGGTAGGATCGGTTTGCTGTTGCTGGTACGTGGCTGCTTGTGATAGAATTATTGCCCCAGTCAATATCAGGTATATTTTGTTGTTATGTGCTGATCTGAGTACGGTTAGCTCCTCTATGGCTGCGTCAGTGTAAGGTGGTCTATAGAAGCAGGAGGTTAATGTTTGCTTCATTGGTCCAGCTTGTATTTTACCTGACAACATCTTTATGTTGTTGCTAGTATGTGTATGTGTCAGGCCAAGCTCCGGTTTAGCAGTGATGACTACCCCGCCACGTGTAACTCCTCTCCGGTCCCTTCGGAGTACATCAAATCCCATCTCTGGGGGAAGATTTCTCCAGTGCCAACCTTGTCATTTAACCAGGTCTCAATACCAAGGATCATATCAGGTTGGGCAGAGTCAACAGGTACCTGCAATTCTGATCGCTTGTTCTTTATACTCTGGAAATTGGTGATTAATATTCGCAGTGGCCGCTTGGGAAGCTTCCCTATCCCGTTTTGGGGGTGGTTGTGTCTTATGGAGGAGGACGCTGCTAGGGGTACACTCACGTCACTAATGTCACTTCCATCTCTGCTCTCAGTGGTGTTGAGTGAGTTAAGCAAGGCAGAACATGTGTTATCAGATGAGTCTATTAAATCATACCATATGGTGGAGTGATTAGGGGCATTACACCTCGTACATGACCATGAGACTAATGTATTCACTAGTGGTGATTATTCTCTGGAGTCTATCCCTGTACAATGGGTATGGTACCATGTATCACACTCGTTACATGCCAAAGCTTTTTGGCCCCATTTGCAGGCCAAATTACACACGCCACATGGGTATTTCGGGAGACGAGGACTCTCTATTCCACCTAACTGCGCTCACTTTCGCTCTGTACACCCCTGGCATATGTAATAGCAAAATTGAAGGCACGAAGATAGCTGTTTAATTAGTCTCAGAAGTTTACCTGTCTTTTGAAGATTACAAAGGAGAGACGCCCGACTTCAATGCTTGTCAATTCTTACCGTTACGTGACTGCGAGATTCTTTTGATGTACATCAAAGGATCAAACTAGTCTTCTTTTCTCATCAACAAGGTGGCGCACACCGAGCCTTCATTTTTTCTATTACATATTCCAGGGGTGCAGAAAGCGAAAGTGAGCGTAGCCCCTGGATATCGAGGATGAAGTTTGGACTAAAGTTCTCACACGGACGTATTCTCTGATGATACACTTTACACAAGTGTACTATTCCAGTAAAAATTGGTGATGAGGTTGTATTTACATTTAATATGTTAACATTTGAAGTTTCTCTGAGATATTCCCTTGGTGTTTGGTATCTTATCACCACTAAGAATAACAAGGTTTGGCTGATGTATCGTAGAAACATCCTTGAAGTGATGTTGATTACAATTCACCGGTACATATAGTATGAAAGAAGAATTGAAAATTGATGGTGCATTCTACAAAATAATCCAACCATTTCGCCCCTGGATGACTATTGTTTATGTCTTAATTCATTAGAAAGATCGTTTCTCGTAATAAACAGTAGAATCGTTGATTGAATCACGGAGCAGATAGGGAAGCGTCCTGTTGACACGGACATGCGCACATGTTCATATCCCTCTATCTTGTCGGTGTATTTTTGGGAGTATGGTGCCCACAGAGGACTACAAGTAGCATAGCCCAGTGATCTTACAAGGCATTGATAAAGAGGAATAAATGACTTGATGGTCACAAACTGCTATGTTCTCCTGAGAAGTGCGACTATAGATTTTTTTTCTGAGATGTTTTCATCAAAAGATAGATCAGAGTCTTTATTACTCAAATATCATTTTCTTGGAGGTATTTTCCATGGAGGTGTCCTTTCTTTTTTTTATTGTTTAAATATTTTAGTATCGTCTGCAAATAGGTACATATCCAACTGAACCTCTCCTGGGAAGTCACTCACAAAAATTACAAACATCAATGGCCCGGGCCGAGCACGGAGCCTTGGGGGATTCCTGATGTAAAACATTTGTCCTTCGACATCTGTACCATTTACAGATACTTTCTGTTGTCGACCTTTCAGGAAAGTTGATATCCAAGAGAGTCTTCTGTGTGGAACTGTGTCAAAAGCTTCCTGTTAGTCCGTGTAAATACAATTTGTATCCTGTCTTTTATCCAGGGCTTCTTTCCATTTATTCACAACTAATAGTTGTAAACATGTTGATCTTTCAGATATGATGGTGCATATTAAGAATTCTATTTTACTACTGTACATTATTTGTATGACATATTCTAGGGGTGCAGAGAGCGAAATCGGAGAGGTTCCAAATAAGGGCAATGTGGTCAGAGAAACCCATTTTGATGTAAAACGTTGAAAATGTTCGCAGTATCATCTCTTTTCAAGTTAAATTTGTGCAATGTTCTAGTTTTCCATTGCATACTCGGCTGTGGTCGATATCTATATTCGACACCAGATATCATCTGTGTTCCTTCTCTTTCGGGTTGTATTCCATGATTTTCTTATTGTATCACTAATATTGAAAGTGATGGCAATACAGCATCCTTTAGAACATACCGTAAACTGGATTGTCTGTCGTATTTTCTACTCTCCGCCAGGCTTCGCTTCTAAAGTATGGAGTATCCTCCGGCATACAAGAAATCATTATTTAAAGTTTGCCCGGAATTCGGTGTGCAATTTTTCACATAAACCCTAGGAAGGGTATTCTGACTATTTCCGTGTCATTCAAATGTTTTTAAAAGGAGATATTTTTTTGTGTAACATATCCGATAAACTTAGACGATTCTTTGATGACACCGGTACATGTATTTTGCATTGCGCTCATGTGACCATAATTCCTAGGCTGCTTTACATTATACTGACCTCACTCCGAGAGGTCTAGTCCCGCGACTTGCCCTGGTGAATTTCGTTAATCTTCCCTGTGTACCATTAGCCCTTAAATAACCAACGGGAGCTGGCAATGGTACCCAATGGCCATGATGTTGCCATCAAACATAATGTGCGAGCCGGCCCCCATCCTTTTTTAACCCCGCTCGACGTTGCTATACTATATCGTGTATTGGACACATCGCCGGAAAGCTACACGTAACTTGCCAGTATATGGTAGTAAGGCAGTAGTTCTCCTCACATTCCTTGGCTGCTACAATTAGGAGCGTATGTTGTTGTTTACCCAGTTTATCTTAACGTTCAATGTCCGAGAGAGTCCCCGAGTTTACGACCGCCATTTTGAAAATTTGCGCGTACTTTTGGTGCGGCGCTGTAAGGTTTGCAAAAAAAGTCGCGTTTTATGACATGGTTGTCAAATAAAAGACCCGTAGGTCAAGCGAAATAGTTGGATTACCATGTTCATGCTCCGGTACTGTGCATATAACATGTTCCCAGGAGATAGTACAATAGGACATAGCAGTGTTGCCCCGTCAATACTCGGTGTGTTATTAGAAGTGTTTGCCCACCACCGTACCGTCATTATTACCCACGCAAGCAAGCTTTCTGCGCACCAGATAACTAATGGATGAGAACGGCGGACTGAAGAAGAGGGAACACGTATGTAGCAAAACCAGATGTTCCGTTTTCATCGCTTTTCTTGTCGCCTCGTGCGTCGTTGTTCTTTGCGTCGTTACTTTTGAGGTTGACGACCTGCGAATGAAGATACAGTATGACGTGTCGGGCTTGGCATGGTGGAAGACGTCCATCATTTATCAGGTGTATCCCAGGTCATTCAAGGACTCGAACGGGGACGGAGTAGGTGACCTCAGAGGTATGGCGTCATTGTATGACTATGTCAGTTCAGTTCAGTTCCTTACGGCTCATCAGTTCAAAATAAACATATATACAAGGATAAACAATACAATCACTCACACCCATATACACACCCACAAATACACACACACACACACAAATACACACTCACATACCCATTTGTATAGTGTAGAGAGACCTCCCTCTTTATATAGGTACATAGTCTTTTCTTTTCTTATTACTCAGTTTAATATATTTGGCTATATTTGTTAACTGTTTTTTGTTCCCTGTTTCCATAAGTTGGATAAATGTATACATGCTAGGTCTTTCATAGTAATATTTCTTAATAAAACTCTTTCTTAAATCTAAAAAACATTCACATTTTAATATAAAATGAAATTCATCTTCGATATTCCCACTGTTGCAGTATGCACATGTTCTCTCAATCCTATCTACATTGTTATACCTACCAATTTCAATATTTAATTTGTGAGCTGACAGTCTAATTTTGTTATTTCTTTCAGATTTGTATTTCCTATGGGTTTTGTTAAATATGGTTGTAAACAGAAATGTTCGCCAATAAACCTGTACAGTGAACACTTAGAAGATGTATCTATTTTTCTTAACATTCTTGTTTAAATATATCACACATTCTGCTTTTAATAATATTCATAATATAATCGGATGTATAGGTATCTCCATATTGCCATATGTACCCTTCTCCCATTCTAAATAGTTCGTTTCTTACTCCATTCATCCATTCACTACCATTTTCTAACATTTCTTGATAGCATGCATGTAAAACACAATTGTCAGTTTGTTTTAATTAGGGCCCCGTATCAGAGATACGGGTGCCCTACAGTAATCACTGTCTGTCTGTCTGTCCGTCCACAAATTCTGTTCCTGGCTGATAACTTTTGTATTTATCGACCGATGTACATGAAACTTGGTCAAGATGTTCAGTTTACAAAAATACACAATGAGGTAAAAAATCAAGGTCAAATGTCAAGGTCATAAGGTTCAAATGTCAAGGTCAAATTTTACATCTTTTCACTGATGAACATTTTGTTATGACATTATGAAGCAAAGTTGATCAGAATTAAACAAGGAGTCAACTGACCAAAGGTCAGGGTCATCGGGTCAGGGGTCAAGGTCAGATTTTGTACCTTTTCACTGGTTAACATTTTGCTATGACATTATGAAGCAAAGTTGTTCGGAATTAAACAAAGAGACACATTGAGGTAAAAAATCAAGGTCAAAGGTCAAGGTCATTAGATTCAATGGTCAAGGTCAAATTTGTATCTTTTCACTGATGAACATTTTGTTATGACATGATGAAGCAAAGTTGATCAGAATTAAACAAGGAGTCAACTGACCAAACGTCAAGATCATTGGGTCAAAGGTCAAGGTTAAATTTTGTACCTTTTCCCTGATGAACATTTTGTTATGACATTATGAAGCAATGTTGTTCAGAACACAGAGTCAACTGACCTTAGGTCCAGGTTACGGGGTCCAAAGGGTCAAGGTCAAGTTTTGTATTTTTCACTGAAGAACATTTTGTTATGATGTCAAGAAGTAAAGTTGGTCGGAATTAAAGAATAAGTCAACTGACCAAAGTTCAGGGTCACTGGGTTAATGGTCAAGGTCATTTGGGTCCAAAGGTCAAAGATAAAGTGGATCTCTGACTTTTAACCCTGGCTCTTGACAAATGAGTATTGCACCGGTATTTACATTTTTGTTAGCCCAGCAAATATGGAGGTGGAAGGAAACAAGACTCACATCATAGTACATGTAAAATGTATATTTTGCTTCCTTGCGATTCTTTTTGAAGTCTAAATGTCAAACGTCAAGCTCAGCTATATGGGCAGATTGCTTCTTGATGATTATGGGGGGTATATTGCCACAAGACGGGGCCCTTACTGACCTGTCAGTGTTCTAGTTTTAACCAGTATTTAAAAATTCTAAATTTCCTAATTATTTCCAAAGGCAATCTTCCTAATTCTTGGTAAACCTCAAAATTTGCAGTAGATTTCTTAACCTCTAATAATCTTTTACAATAACTTAAATGTATTTTCTCTATATCTAGTGCTTTATGAAAGCCCAAAACTTCAGCTCCATAATTAAAAGTGCTACAGACATATGTATCGAAAACATGAAGCTGAGTTTCAACGTTAAAATATTTTTTCTTAGACACGTTTGATACTGAAAACAATGCTTTTCTTCCTTGTTCAGCGATTTTTTGCTGAGTTTTTTTTTAATTTACCATTAAAATTCATTAATATACCAAGGTAATTAAATTCATCTACAATATCTTAAACACCTCCATCAAAGTACCACTTATCTTTTTCTCTTAATTTACCTCCGTTACGGAAAACCATCACATTGGTTTTAGAAGTATTAACCGTAAGATTTCATTTACTTGTATAAAGTAATAATGTATCTAACATTTTCTGCAATCCCTCAGAAGTTTCGGCCAATAACACCATATCGTCTGCATACATCATTAACAATATATTAATAGTTTGTTGCTCTATAGAAGGACACCCTTCTGTTTAAAAATTCTTTTCGCAATCATTGACATACAAAGAGAACAATAGAGGAGACATAATTTCCCCTTGAAATAATCCATTTTTACATTGAAAAATCTGACATGTTTTTGTTATACTTAACACAAAATTTTACATCTCTGTACAAAGAACGGATAATATTCAACATCTTTCCTTCTATACCTTCTTTGATAAGTTTGTACCACATATTCTGTCTATTAACGAAGTCAAAAGCTTTTTTATAATCAATAAAACAGCAATACAGTCTATTTCTATTTTTCAGGGTTTTACTTATTAATGTGTGTAATACAAATATAGCGTCAATAGTTGATAAATTCTTCTTAAAACCAAACTGAGCATCACTTAGTTTAGAATATTCACTATTGAAATTAGCAAGACGCTCATTAAGAATTGATGTAAAAAAAATCCCTAAACAACTTACTAAAGTAATTCCTCTGTAATTATTAGTATCGTTCTTGTCTCCTTTCTTAAAAATAGGAATTATATTACCTATCGACCATGATGTAGGATATAAACCAGATTTAAAAACATAGTTAAACAGTACCACAAGACATGGCATAAGTACATCTTTTCCCTTAATAAAATACTCATTAATCAGTAGATCTGGACCACACGCCTTCGAGTTACTCAATTTATTGATAGCTTTGAGCACTTCACTATCAGATATCTGATCATCTAATTCTTGAAACATAGTATTTGATATATTATCATCATAATTATTTAAAAACTCATTAACCATTTCATTCTCAACATGTTCCGTTGAAGACAATTCGCTAAAATACTTTAAAAAATCTTGTTCACTAAGATCCTCCTTATCGTTATTTTTTCTTTTCTTGAATCTACTATAGAAAGCCTTAGGGTTACTTTTTCATAAGTAATCCATCATATTACCTTGTTGTTCTATATATTCCCGCTTTAATCTAGTTTCCAGTTTTTGATAGTTACGCTTTTTAGATATAAACATGTTCTTATTTTCCTCTGACTTAAGTGAATTAAAAGTAAATAATGCGTTTTTGTATTCAATATATCTGTTTTTACAAACTTCGTTAAACCATGGTTTATCCTCCACTCGAACTTTTTTTTTTAACTTTTCTAGAGGTGTAATTAGTAACATTTTAAGGCATTAACAATTCATTTAATATATTAGTAAACTTATTCACAAACTCATCTATACATTTTTGATTATCTTCAATATTATTACAAGCATTAAATAACTCTACGGTTTTCCTCTAGTAAATGCAATGCTCTCTCTGCATGATCCTCATTCCATTTAACATGTGTATATATATTATCTTTATCATTATAATCAGGTACAACTACGTTTTGTTCAAATTAATCCACAGTAATACAAATTGGAGAATGGTCTGAAAAAACATTAAATACTCCACTCTCAAAGTGAGTAATGTTCTTTAAAAAATCATCAACAGTCAATACATAATCTATAAGACTAGATCCCCTACTATTCAAAAAAGTTATACTACCATTAGGATCATCTTTATGTCGGCCATTTACAATTCTCAAGGAAGTAGATTTACACAGTGAAAGAAGATGTCTTCCAAATTGGTTAATATGCAGGTCAGAATTGGAACGTTTGGTTGGTACAAAAACATTAACATAATTAACAATATTTGAAATAACATGCGCAGGCCCTTGATTAACCATATCATTACTTATATAATCGTCGTAAATACCCGTTCTACTATTGAAATCTCCTAGTACAATCACTTTACCTAATCCTTTATATTCACACACCATTTCTTCAAGTCTGGTAAAAATATCAATTTCACATTTGTGATAAAAAAAAACCCCACTATTTACAGGTGGGAAATAAACAAGCAAATGCATATATATCACTAACATTATTTCTAATGTTATTGGATATTTTTAACAATACAATGTTATCATTAATGTTATCTATTACCCTACAATAATCGCAGATAGTTGATTTAATAAAAAATACAATTCCACCGCCTTTACCATGCATTCTAGGAAACACACAGCTGTCATAACCTTCCAATTCCAATTCATCCTCTTTCTCAACCCACGTTTCATACAAACATACAACATCAAATTTGGTAATAATATTAACAAACTCTTCTGTATCTAATTTGTCCGTGATCGATCTGCATATATTCCATGATATAATGGAAAGTCCCTCCACACAACCCTAATACGACAAGTCGTGATTCCCTCGAGGTGGCTCGCGATCAGATTCAGATTCTTTATTTCCTTATGTTTACAACAGATCGGAGAGTAGACATACATATGTACAAGATATCACAATGTATAACACAAATTACAGTTGGTGCTATAGTGTACAATGCATAACATAGATTATTAAAACACAATATACCTGTATGTGGGTATAACATACAGAACATGCAGTATTATATTTAGTTAAACAATATTATTTCGTCGTTTTGTACTTAAATGCAAAAATTTGCCTAGGTTA